CTTGCCCTCTTAATGACTCCCTATCAACGCCAGGATCAAGTTTTAAAATCCTCTGGCTTTCAAAGCCACCTTCCTGATCTTAAGCCTTTTTCCCTCCCAACCTCCACATACTTTTCAACCCAGTGACTGAGTCTTCCTTACTGTTCTTTGCACAAGACACTCAATCTCCGAGCTCCATGCATTTTCTGGCTGGCTGCCATACCTGGAATGCTCTCCCTCTTCACCTCTACCTCCTGGCTTCCTAGGTTCCTTCAATTCCAACTAAAATTCTGCCTTTTCTAGTCCTCCCTAATGCTAGGGCCCTCACTCTGTTGATTGATCTCCAATTTATCCAGTACATATCTTTTTTTCTTTTTTTTTGCCTTTCTTTGCAACCTCAATACTTAACACAATGCCTGGCACATAGTGATGGGGTTGGGATCTGGACCTCAGAAAGGAAAAACCCTGGACTTTCCCACAGGGCCAAATCTGTGGCATTCACCTAAGGCTATAATCCCATCAACTGGCCTTTCATTGTGGCTACACCCAATCTCCCAATTCTGTTACCCTTCAGCTTCTGTGGGACAACTCGCTCAAGGAGAACCTGCAGGGCCTGGTGGGCATCCCCCTGATCTGAAGGGCTGCGCACCCCACACCTGCTACCATGGGACCTTGCCGGAGGGATGGGAGGCTTGGAGGTGGGAACCCTGGATCACCCTGGTGGCCTGAGGGGACTGCACCTTCAAGGACAAGGTGTTCAATGCAGCCCTCAGAAAAGCCCCAGCCATGGTCATCTACTACGAGGACCACTACGGCCACGGCACCAACTCCACGTCCCACCTGGGGACAGGAAATAGAGTGATTATTGTGGTAGCTATCCAAAAGGAATAGAAATTTTGGGGCCAGTGCAAAGAGAAATTCCATTTAAAATTGGTAAACGTCATGTGCAAGAGTTCATCAGTGGTCAGTCTGTTGTGTTTGTAGCCATTGCTTTCATCACCATGATGTTCATATCATTAGCCTGACTATGTTTTACTATGTATGGCATTTCCTATATTCTGGTTCACAGTTTGGAAATCAGAACCGTAGGAAAGAAACAAAGAAAGCTATTGAGCAACTTCAGCTTTATACTGTAAAGCATGGAGACAAGGGAATTGATGTTGATGCTGAAAATTGTGCAGTGTGCATTGAAAATTATAAACCGAGGGATATGGTTAGAATTTTGCCATGCAAACATATTTTTCACAGAACATGCATTGATCCTTGGCTCTTGGACCACTGAACTTGTCTAATGTGTAAACTTGATGTCATCAAAGCCCTAGGATACTGGGGAAATCTTGAGGATATACAGGATATGACAGCTCCAGAATCCATACCTGATAGTGTTTCGATTGTGAATTTGAGCATCTCTTTACAAGATGAAGACAAAAGTGAAGTAAATAGTTTGCCTTCATCTTCTACAGATGGATCTGGGCTACAGTGTAACAACTGTGAAGATGATACTGGGGAAAATACAGCATAACTAAAGAGAGATGACAAAGATGCTCTGCAGGAAGAGCCTGGCTGCTAATGGACATTAACATTCAGTAGCTTCACAGCAGCTTTTTGGACTGCATTAGAAAAGATTTTAGTTTTTTATCTTATTAGCACACACTTTGTACATTGGAAAAATTATATATGATCTTTTATCTTTCAGACTTTTCTAGTTCTTATTGTAAAAGGGCTACGATATTTTGTTCAAAAAGGAAAGGTTTTTAATTAGTCTTCATGTTGACCTGCTGAAATGCATTTTCTGTTTGGAAGAATTTTGTCATATCAGACTGTTACAGAAACTGTAACTTAAGAAACTGTAATGTAAAATATTGGTGTCATCATCTCTAAAAAATACCAAAATAATTAAAGTGTAAGAGAGATTATTTTTCTGAAAGTCGACTCAAGAATAAGCACAATTTGTTTTGATATATATCTTGATTGTGGCATTGTGTAATGAAATGTTTTCCCTGGAGGAAACATTTTAGAGGTTTAGGGAAACTTGTTCAAGTTCATAACACTATTGTCCATGTGTGTCTTGTATGTAAATAATTAAGAACTTAGCTAGAAATAGGTTATTTTCTTTTACTAGTTGAGATTGTAAAAAACACTAACTACAATATATATTTTTTCCTGTTCCTTGTGACATCTTGCAGTGGGAAAAGACCTCCTATCTCCCTTTTCCCCCTGTGCACCAGACCTCCCCATGTTCCCCCAGAAGTATGGGAGAAAGTAGAGCTAATTCTTTGGCATCAGGGAATTACGTCAAGCCACTTTTCACTATTTGGTGACCGCTAAAACAATTTGGCTAGCGTTGGTTATTGTCTTAATGTGTAAACTTGCCTAAAAGCTTGTTTGGGTTTTGTCTTGCTGAGAATTTGCAAGTATGTAGAAACAATCTCTAATGATTGGCTTTTTACACCAGGACAAATTTAAATCTGAGATATAAATCCTGGAAAAGGTTTTCCTAAGCTGTGATTAATGAAACTTGCTGTTTGAGGTAAAAAAGCTCATGATTTTATTTTGTTGTTGTCTAATGGATCATAATAATCCATTGATAAATCAATAATCCATCATCTGAGACATGCCACAAGCCACTCAGAGAGAACGTGATACTGGTGGGAAGTCAGCATTGGGAAAAGCAGAGAGGACAATTTTAGCCTCAGTCTAAGATGGGATCCTTCTGTAATCCTTCTGAGCCTGTAATCCCATCAGCTGGCCTTTCATTGTGGCTATACCACCCTTAACCTAGCCTAGCCCTCCATTGTTTTACCTCCCTATGGCCCCCTGCCACTTTCCACCCCTGATCCTAGCTAGGCTCCATTCTCCCTTGGCCATGTGGTCCAGGTCCCTGGCATTCTATTACCTCACTGTTCCCGAAAACTACTTGGCCACTCCTAGATCCCTTTCACAGTCTTTCTGTATGTAAGGTCCATCTTGTCTCCATTAAGGTGCTCAGATTCTTATAATCTAGCTACCGCTCAGATTTTTCTTTAATAAACCTTGTCTTTGGCTGAAAGGCAGGACCCATGTGTCGTGATCTCAGGGTCCCAGCACCCCTAAGCCTCTAGACCTCATCAGTAATAGGCACTTAATAAACATATCTTGAATTGATTAAAAAGAGTTATCAAAATATTTCTTAAATAGTTATTGGACTCCAGATTAAGAACACTTTTTGGTCTAGCCCTCTGCAAAGGTATAGACTAAAGGGTAGGAGGAGATCTAGGAAAGCTGTGTCATGAAAACCCAGGGAGGGAAGAGTTTTTAGAAAGAAGGGATGGGCACTAGTGTCTAAGGCAGAGAAGTCAAGAAGAATGAGGGAGATCTGAGAGTATGCCATTAGATTTAGTCATTTAGAGATTATTGGTGACCTTGGAGAGAGGAGTTTCAGATGACTGGTGAAGCTAGATTCCAGTTGCAAAGGATTGAAAAGTAAAAGGGGGAAAAAGGGTATGGAGGCAATGGCTTGTACAATGCTTTTTCCAGGGGTTTGGCTATGCAGTGGAGGAGATATATAGGACAAGGTCTTGAGAAGATAGTAGTGAACATGTTTTAAACTAGGTTAGGCCTAGCCATATTGTGGACTGCAGGTAAAGGGCCTAATAGGGAGAAATTAAATATTAGAAGGTAGGGATGTTTGATGGGTGTCATAGGGAAGGGTGTGGATACAAAGCTGTTAATTGCTTTCCTTAGAATGATGGGAGTTAAGTTAATCCATGATCAATGGGCTGTTCAGGAGTGAAATAATTCTACTAAACCAGTATATATTCCATGTGGTATGAAATTCAGTAAGATCCAAAGCCATATTGGACTTCTTCATCCAACCAAAACCAATATCCACTTGTCAAACACCTATTCTGTCACTCTGCTAGATTCTAGGGAATAAAGGAGAAAAGAAGTCCCTTCTCCTAAGGAGCCTGCGTTCTACTAAGGGGCACGTATGTACATGAATACATAGATTCGTGGTACAGTTTTAAGAGGTTAACCACTAAGGGGCTGCCCCCAATCCCTTTACAATTTCACATTACATTTATAGAGTCATGACCATTAAAATGTTCAGTTCTTCATGATGTACAAACCATGCTGAGTCATCTAAGCTTGCAATCTTGGGGAAAATACCCTTTGCTTTCTTTGCCATCTGATTAAGCTTTTTGCCTTAGCAGCAAAGCTGAGCTTGTTTTCAGCCTCTGCAATACCAAGGCCAGGCAGAGTGCCACATTTGCCCAGGTCACTAACTAGCAAAGCGAAGACCCCTGTGTACTCACCGCCACCTACCGGTTTCTGGCCCATATGACATCCTCACAGTGATTCTCCATTGCCATCTGGTGGCCAAGCTTCAATAACTGAAATTTGAGTATTTGTATTGGGGTTGACCTTGGCAAGTTTGAAGGAAACCAAGGGCACAGACTTTCTTATCCCTTCTCCTTTCCCATTTAAAAGATAGTGCTTAGCTGCAAAGTGTCTCAGGCAGGGTTTGTTTTTGGTTTTTTGCTTCTTGATTTGTTTCATGGAATATATAAGAAAATCCAAACATCGGCATAGTAGAGAAAGCCCAAAAGCGCACCATCAGGCCATGAGCTAAAAGAGATGTCACAGACCATCCAATCCGAACTACCCATCCCAGACTTTACCTTCCTGACACAGTTGATAGTCTGTGCTCAAGAACCGTCAGGAGAGACTCACGGCTTCCTGAGTTAGGCTATTTCACTTGTGGATGCTTCTAATTGTTGGGAAGTTTTTCATTCTATTTAAGCCTAAACAGGCCTCTTTTCAACTTCTCTTGGTCTTTGTTCTGCCATACAAGCACAAGTACAATTAACAATTTCTTCTGGTATGGAACCTAGACACTAGACCTTTCCTTTGGTCATGGAGATACTAGTCCAGAGAAAGTTTTAAGATGCAAGTTGAAAAACATCTATTAAAATAGATCCTGTAGGTAAAGGTGAGTTCGTTCTGCATTTCTTATTTTCAGTAAAGAACACCCCAAAACATAGTTTTTCACCTTGTTACTTTATTAGAAGCTTACTTAGGTAAACCATGATTATTCCACGGCAAACACTTTACAAAACGGCTTTGAATAAAGTATTGGAACTACATAAAAATAACCTCTCTCTCTCTTAAAAAGAGAAAATATAAGTTAGTTTCATTTACTTTAATAAAGATTACCTAAAAGGGGGGGGTGGGGGAACCTTTCAGTTGGGTTGTTTTGTTTTTAAGAAAAAACTGCTCAGTACTGTGCTTGCCTGCCTTCTCAGAGATCAAAATTGTGTGTTGGTACAACCATAATTCTGTGAAACTAATCAGAGTATGTGGGAAAGGCACAAAAATTAGGGGATACAGGCAATCCTGAAGCAACTACATTAAGTTCCCCATCCCCCCCAAAAAAAGAAAAACCAAATGAAGGATTTCTCACTCAAGTCATTAAGTTAGCAATTTACTTTTTGCTTCACCACACACATTCATAATCACAAAATGAAAACTTGTAAACAAAGGACCGAGCCACATCCGCCTGACCTTACATTGAAGTTGGCATCATTTGACTGAAGTGGATTTCTATTCTTTTTTTTTTTTCATACTGCCACTTAAAACTTTAATCTTCCTAACAGCTATGCAATTACTATGGAACCTAATGAAATAGGGGAAAGTGATGTAGTATGTTGGAGCGTGACAGAGGGCCTTCCTCCAAAGCACTGATTTAATACTAAACACATTTATCACTGATGCCTAAAACTCATATTTAGGCCAGTTGTCAAAGAAATGAACGTTCGCCTTAAAGCATGAATATTATGATAAAGCTAATGTCTTCCTGCAAAGCGTCTTCACCGGACATTTGCTTTACGCATCAAGAAAAACTTGAACGTCCCGAAACACTCAATCAACATTGAGCGGTTTGATAGTCTTCCTGCCGCCCCCTCCTCCCCCCCAAAAAATCAATCCCAACCAGTACAGCCAGTGTTTGTTTTAAAATGCAAAGTGTTAAGCATACACTTTGGTGGTAGTCTGAGCCAAAATAAAGTGATCTTCTAGAGATCTTACTGATCTCTTTATTACCAGATGCAGAAGAATGGATGACCAGACTACAGTATATCCATATATTTCCTAGAACTGAGCCCCCAAATTATTTTGTTTCAGTGTTGACTGAAAACCTAAAAGACAGTGAAAGAAAAAGGGAGAATTCCTCAGAAAATCATTTGAGCACAGTTACAGCTACTCTCTATTTTCACATTGAGACTGAATTCTCTGATGATCAGAATCTTGGGACCAGTTTAAAGGATACATTGGCATCTTGGTATTCCATTTGTGACTCAGAACTGTATCTTTAAAAGTGTCTCATGGCTCAAAAAACAGTGTCACAGGCAGAAAGCAAGTAGGAAAAAAAAGCTCCAATAAATGGAAGTAGAACTGGATGCTACAAAATTATTCCAGCTGAAGCCTGTGCCTCACATTTACCTCAGTTTCTCCTGCTACTTTCTTCCTGGAGAGAAGAAAAGAAGTTCAAGAGTTTGCTAGCTGCTTTTGGGTGCTGATGGCTTTCTGAACTAACAATGGTGGTGATGTCAGAGCACCGGCACAGTAAGAAAGCCTCGTATTTTGCCCATGCCAACATTCGTGGAATGCTGGTAAGAAAACATCACAGTATGAACCATTTACTGGTTTGATGTATACCTGAAGAGAAAACTGAGCTGTGATGAAACGCATCCCTTTTTCTTCCTCTGCTACCTATAATGCCAACAGGCAGCTTTTCTTCTTATTGGCTTCTTACTTATCTAAAGTCTAGGCTTGACAGCAAATAATTTGTGATCTTAGATGAGAATACCTTCAGGTACACATAACATCTTCCTGCTCAGAACAGGCCACTTACAGTGGCATATTATATACCCAACAGGCCCAGCCTATATTGGATGGCAGAAGCCTATTTATACAAATGGCACAAAACACTCTCAAGCATAAAGTGATGAAAACTCCAGCAGACTCTTCTTTTCTGAACATGAGCCAATGGCATTCTTTCCCCTCCCTCTACCCACCTGCAAAGGGAAAGAAGTCTGGGCTAATCAATTATGAAGAATTATAAAGACACAAAGCTAGAGAAATCCCCCTCTGACTACATCATTCAGCTCCAAAATGACTGGTGCATATGGATGATTCCTTTTTGAGACCCCTCTTCCAACACAAAACAGGACACGTGGAATAAAGAAGATGGAACAACTGAACAAAGAGACCACCTAGAATTTCAACAGGAAAGAGCCAACTTCCGTGCTCAAAGTGTTGGACCCGACAGGGCGCGTTATATCTAACACTCCAATCCAAAGCAGAATTGGACTCCCTCCAGGGAGCAAAATCACTATCTTTTGGATACCAGGAAGGGAGTTCTAATCCACACGTTATTTGCCCCTTCTCTTGGCCTTCAATCCCACCAGTACCCAAAATGAAGATGACTTAGATCTTCAGGTGAAGCAAATAAATGCTTTGGGGGTATCAGCTGACAACGGGTGACGCAGAATAAGGTAAGGACACATATAAAAAATTCATCCATGTTATGACTAAGAAAAATCAGGAACCAGGAGAGGGAAATTCTTAGCACAGCTAAGGCAGAGAGTTCAGGGTTCTAAAGTTAGGTTGGCATTCTGGAAGCAATGGATGTTATAGGCCCTGAGTTATGGAAGCCTGATGCCTCATACAGTTGTACTTTAGGAAGCTTCCGAGGAGCTGTATGGGAAAAACTTGGCAAGTTTGCTCGGTGAGTTGGGATTCGGGCACTCGGCCTCTTCACTCAATTTGAAGAACATCTCCTGCTCACGTTTCTTCTGGTTCAAGTCATCTTCCAGAGCCTTGGAAAAAGCAGAGAGTATTAAATATTTGTAGAATGAATGAATGAAAAAACAACTACATCTGAACACCCAAGAAGGAAGAGCACTTCCCCAAACAATGTCTTAAAGCAGTGCCAAAGCCAGAGTTTCCATAGCCTTTGCAGAGGTGAATGTTTCAAAACCCTGGGGCTCCTGCCAGAGCCCAGAAAGCTTTTATCAGGGTATTCCCCTCCTTGGCCTCATTCACAAGTCACATAACTACGTCCTCCCCATTTCCTTTTCTATTGCTGATTACCCTGACATAGTATAAACAGCACTTCCTTCCCGGTGCCAGATCTAAGCAGCAATTTAAAGGGAACCACAGACTAAGACTTGGGCAGGGATTGCCAGGAAGCTCAATGCAAATGTAAAACTGCTGATATTAAAACAGCCTAGTAAGTCAAGAAAAACTTGGGGAGGAAAATCAGAAGAGATCTGTCCACTAAGGGAGGGAGAAGTCAGCTGGATTAAAGGAGCACCCAAGAACTAGGCAGCCCCGGGGACAGACAGTTTTAACTGTCCAGGTCAAATCCCAGCACAGTGACCTTCAAGGGGGGTGTCCCAGTCCAGCCTTCAATAGGCCTCTTTATTGTGCTGACCACTCCCTGAGTCCAGGGGCCACTGGCTGCGGCCTAGATTCAGGCAGGATTTGTTAGGATTTGGTCTCTGTTACATTGGCTTCTCTTCCTTGGCTCCTGCTACTCTAAAGCCTTCCCACCTCTGAAAAGCCATTCTGTTCATAGAAAAATCAGCGGGTTTGATCTTGTTCCTTCAGTCTAGTTTGATTCTAATTAAGTTTTTCTATCTCAAAGCAAGATTAAGATACTATGGAAATTAAAAAAAAAGATACTGTGGAAATTTAACTGTGAACCCAATCCTTTCCTAGCCTATAACAAAACATGTGAATATGTCATGGGAAAATATGTGGAGTGGGGTATAGCTTCCTAACTTTGGATTCCACCAATTTGATACTGATGGTAATTCAGACAAAGGCTCACTAAGCTTGGGCTGACCTTTACTATACTGATCATATATGAGCATTTGCTGAGCAAAGAGCTAGTATAAACAAGATCACAGCAGCAGCGGTTAACCCACTTAAGAGGAAAACACATCGCTCACTGGCCTTACAAAATGGGTGCCCATGAATTGGGGAAATGACTGAACAAATTGTACCCAATGTTCTTACGCCATAGGAGCAGCAAATCTGAGGGATTCAGGAAAATGCTTGACTTGTACAAAGTGATGAAGAGAACAGTGTGCACACAAGTGACGATAAACAATAACAGAACTAAAAAGCAGCCAAACTGAGGAATGTAACGAGGGAAGTTACATCCTGACGGTGAACGGCATCTCCGGTGGGTTCTACAGCCAACTCTCCCGAAGACCCAAAAGAGGAATTTTTTTTTGTCACCAAATTCCTTGCCACTGTCAAATGATACAGCATCAGAATCTGATATGATTTAATCAGTGGAAATGACACTGAAGAAGAGAAGGGGCATTACCACCTGCTTGGCCAATGTACCCTGAGGACCATGGGACCTTTCCATCAGATGTGCACCTGAAACCCTCCACATGTGCTGTCTCCCCCACAGAATGAGAGAAGGGCTTGTCTTACTTTTCTAACCCCAAAGCTTAGCACAGTGCTTTGCACAGACAGAGGAAGCACTTCCAAAATGCTTCATTCATTCATTTAGTCAGTCTCGGAGAAGTGATTGTGAAACTCAACTTCTTTCTCTCGGCAGACAGGTGTGGACTATGGTCATGAAATGAGGACTATGCTGTCAGAAATGATGATTGTGTCTGATTTTGCTTAAATGTTTTTCATTGTTAAAAGAAAAAGTTTGGGTATAAGGATGTTAAAAGGAATTGACTATATAAAAAAAGAATAAAGCATTTTTAAAAGAAAGTAAAATTAAAGAAATGCCATTTACTTACAGTGTACTAATTACAAAAAACTTTTATTTGTACATTAAAGAAGATTCCCAAGAATCTATAGCTACAAATATAGTTAAACCTAACTAAATGAGTTAATAAACCGACTAAACCTGACTAATGCACTGTTGAAGGTAGCTAGGTGGCTCAGTGAATAGAGTGCTGGGCCTGGAGTCAGGAAAACTAGAATTAAAATTTGGCCTCAGATTTTACTAGCTGTATGACCTTGGGCAAGTCTCTTAACCTCTGTTTGCCTTAATCTACTGGAGCAGGAAATGGCAAACCACTCCAGTATCCTTGACAAGAAAACCCCATGGCCAGTACTGGCGTGCAATGGTCTACAGGGTCATAAAGAGTATAACTGAGTAGCTGAACAACCACCAACAGAGCACTGTTGATAGGGCTGTGCTTTAGTACGGCCATTCTGGAAAGCAGTTTGGAATTATGCAAATAAAGTGGCTAAAATATCCACACCCTTTGAGCTAAAGATTCCATTGCTAGCTTATGCTATGATTCAAAGAAGGTCACAGAAAAAAAAAAAAGACTCTATATACACTAAAATATTTATAGCAGCACTTTTTGTGGTAGCAAAGAACTGGAAACTAAGTAGACGCCAATTTGAAAATGGCTGAACAAATGGTGGTATATGAATTTGATGAAATGTTACTCTACTGTAAGAAATGACAGACATGATGAATACAAAGAAATACTCCCAACTCCCCAGACTTTCTCTACCCTCTTCCTCTGAGGCCCCTTCTTCTGACTGGCCGCTTCCTCCCCCAACCTCCATTTTAAGGAAAACACTCAGCCCAGTCGTGTCTTCATTCTGCTCTAGGATCCACTCCCAGCTCTCCAGACTTTCTCTACCATGCTATTCTCCTAATTTTGTCTTTCTCCATTAGAATTTAAACTCCTTGAAGGCAGGAGCCAGCTTTCTTTTGAAATATATCTGTATTCCCAGCCTTAGGACAGTGCCCGACATACATTGATGGAAAATAAAGTAAGCAGAGTCAAGAAAACAATATACACATGGCAGTGCAAACAGAAAGAACCACCACTATAAAACAGTCAAAGCTGAACGTTGTAAAATTACAAAGAACAAGCCTGGCTCCAAAGGTGGAATATGAGAAGACACCTCCTCCCACCCCTTTCCTTCGCAGGGGTAAGTGGGAGGAGAAATGGTCCATGGGTGTGGAACACTGCATATCACATTGTTGTTGGTATTTTTCAATGTGCTAACATGTTTTGCTGATTTTGTTTTCTTCTTTCAAAAAAAAAAATCGTATAAAGGATAGCTCTCTGGGAAGAGGGGCAGGGAAGGATAAGGCAGAAATCTAGGTGATATAAGAACAAAAGATACCAAAAAAATGTCTTAGAGTCCTTTTTAAAACCTAAGGGTTGCCTATGTCCTTAAAAGTAATACAAGTGTATTTTTTTAATATCCAGAATTCTATCTATTCAAACTGACCTTCTCTCCAGCTAAGATTCTGGCCATATGACTAATGAAAACTGTTTAAATTGCAAATGTCACAGTAACATAGGAAATCTAATATTACATATTCCAGGAATAGGCAAATAGAGGCAACAGGGCAAATGCACACTCATCCCTTGAATGTCAACAATGCTGCCCAGCTCGCCTGGAGCCTAGAGCGGCATTCAGATCTGACCATCGGAGAGAAGCAGGTACTGACAGCAACCTAGGCACCATAATTTGCAAGCCATGACAAGATATATACACACACATACTGCAAATACACAGGATGCCCTGGCAGGGAAACCACTCATTTTGTTGTGGGAGATGGGGATGAGTGTTTGTTTTGAGCATCTAGTACAAAAAGTTTCTGTGGCAAACAGCCTTTCAGTCCGAATGAGGAACAATGGACTATTTTAGGGAAAAAAGGCATCCCTCGCTACATCACAAGGAGGGATGTACAAGGTGGACATGGTAGTGAACAGCTGTTTCTACCGAAGACAAAATAAAAGAACACTCAAAGTACAGCAGGAAGAAAATTAATTTGGCATTATTAATAGTAACACTTACACTTGAAGAGGAAGCATGGTATGCTGGATGGAAAATCAGCCTAGGAGTCAGGAAGACCTGGGTTCAAGTCCTGCCTATGACACCTCCTAGCTGTGTTACCTCAAACAGGTCATTTAATCTCTCGGCCACAACTCTTTCAGATAAGATACAAATCCACATTGATAGGGGGTAGACAGCTGAATGGCACAGGGGTTACAGCATCGGACTTGGAGTTGGGGAAGTCCCAAGTTCAAATCTGGCCTCAAACACTTGATAGCTATGTGACCCTAGGTAAGTCACTTAACCTCTCTGTGCCTGTTTCCTCATTGGCAAAATGGGGATAATGCTACCATTGAGCCTCCCAAGGTTGTTGTGAGGATCAAATGAGATATCTGCAGAGCACTTTGCCAACATCATGACACTATACAAATGCTAGCTGTTGTTGTCGTTGTTACTCTGATGCACTCACAGGTCCCATCCCATCCTATCCACCTGACAGTTATCTGGTGCTGCCTTTAAAGTCTGGAAAGGGCTTCACGAACATTCTTTCATTTGAATGGTTCACAACCACCAGCCCTGTGGGACAGGTATAAAGTACTGTCCTCATTTTGCAGACGACAAAGGTGAGATTGAAAGAGGTCACATAACTAGGCAGTGTCAACTACAGGATCCAAACCTAGGTCATCTGCAGACTCTCCATGACGCAAGGCTGTCTCCGGACCCAAGAAGTGTAGAGCATTCTCTTACTTCATCTTCAGTACAGGCCTATGAAGTCGTTCCGCAGGTATCGTCCCCATTTTACAGATGAGGGAGCTGAAAGAACTTTCTAAGTAGTGGCTGTCACTAGAGCATACTATCAAGAAGGCTAAAGATTCTACTTGGGAAACTTTAAATTAGAGGGGAATCCAACAGGGATACCTTAAACAAGATTCAGGTTCAACAACCATGCATCATCATCGTCATCATTATTATTAAAATGCTAAAAATGCAAAAGAGTCCTTGTCCTCAAGTAACTTACAGTCTAACGGAAGACATGACGCACACAAACATGCTAGAAGGTAGACTACAATAGGGGCAAAGAAGTCAGCATATACAGAGTAGGAAGATGGGGCAATCAGGGAAAGCTTCTTGGTAGAGGTGGTACCTGAGCTGGGCCTTGAAGAAGAAGGATTTTAACAGGCAAAAATGAGGATGGTATGAATTCCAGGCATGGAGGACAACCTCTAACAATGTAGGAAGTACAAGACAAGAACGTGGATAGCTAGTCCATCTACTTTGGCTGAAACATGGTGGGAAGGGGACATAGGAAAACATGCTCTAAATAATTACTAATGAGAGAAATGCAAATTAATACAACTTTGAGATATCATCTTACACCTATTATATTGGTTAAAATGATAGATGCCCTTCAATTGAGGAATGGCTAAACAAACTGTGGTATATGATTGTGATGGAATAGTACTGCATCGTAAGAGATTACGAGTTGGTTGATTTTAGAAAAACATGGAAAGACCTGGACCTATGAAGGAAGATGCTATCTACCTCCAAAGAAAGAACTCATAATTAGAAGTACGTACAGTATGGTTTTACATATATGTATACGTGTATGTGTATGTATGTATATATATGCATATATTCATGCTTAAATATAGCCTTCTCTAGGGTGGGATGGGGAAAAAACAATTAAAAGTGCGCAGCAGAGAACAAAAGAAAGCTTAGAAGAAAGCATAGAAAAGCTGGGTAGCTTTGAAAACATTGTGTAGCATTTATTACGTAGTTTAAAAAAATAAACAGTCTGAAATATAAATAATTGGTTTTATATTGAATCCTATGTTTTACTGTGTACATAGAAATGTTCTTTTTTTCCTCTCATTTTGTATTTAAGTTTAAAATTAATAAAAAATTAAAAAACAGTGGGAAGGGGGAAAATATGAAATAAAGTTTTTCTTGGATGAGGAATGGAGCAAATGATTTCTTGATTCTAGCCCTATGTAGCACATAGCAGAAAACCTTCTGAGTTTTAGCACGATAAAGTAACAGGGCTGCAGAACTAGTTTCTTAATTCAAGCATATTTCTGTCCTGTTAGTTTTAAAGGGTTGGAGCTGAATTAGTTTTAACATGCCTTACTGATACATTCTAAATTACTCCTTAATAAATGAAGCTTCACTTCAAAAGCAAATTAAAAAAAAAAAGGGCCCTTCTCATTTGAAATACATGCTACTGACAATATAACAACAGACTTCAAAACTGGAGGACCTACAGGGTCAAAGGTCAAGATTTGGGCACCTGAACCAATGAAATCATACCACAGATTCTGCACTCCCTGGAATCCAATCTGATCGTCTCATGGAGTGGCCCCCTTACCTTTTTCCGAGGCCGAAGCTTTTCCCGCCAGTCCTTCAGGTTCTGGTTATGGCTCTCATCTAGGGCCTTCAGCTTCTGGGTTTCATGCTCTACTAAGAGGTGACACTTTTCATTCTGTAACAAAGTGCAATCCAGGGAAGTCAGATGCCCTGAAGCCACACGAATGAGCCACTGCACTGGCACCATCACCGACAGCGGCCTATCCCAAAATCTAAGAGGTGGAAAGCACCTCAACGGTCATCCGGTCCAACCCACATCTAAGCTGGAATGTTCTGGGCAACATACCCACACATCTTTAGCCAGCCTCTGCTCCGTGACCTCCAGTGAGGGGGAGCCTGCCATCTGCTGAGACAGCCCATGCCACTTCTGCAGAGCTCCTACTCGTCACAGCTTTCCCTTATCCCAGGCTTAATTTGCCTCTTTGCACACCCAGTGCTCTTGGTTCTGCCTTCTGGGGCCAAAGAGACCTTAAAGGCAACTCTCCTGTTTCCCTCCCCACCCCATGAGAAGAGGTTCCTGCTATAAGCCAGTCTTGTCAGGACACCTAGTGAAACACATGCCTCCATCTATTCTAGATGTTAAGTATGAAATATGTGAAAAAATGAGAAAGTGAAACTACTAAAGGATTTCACAAGGAGATGGCTACTCAAAGCCACCAGGACAATTTCCAGGACCCCCCAGTTGATCTCACTACCTACGGGCTGCCATCATGCTATCCCCTTACCAACCAGCCAATCCACAAGAACATAGTAAGCACCCGTTCCGAGTGCTACGCTAGGCTGGGAGACGACGCCATCGCCACCAGAGCCGCGATCTCCCTTTGGGGGCCGGCGCCTTTACCTGGAGCTGCTGGAGCTCGCTCATGTTGCCCTCACACTGGGTATTCATGTCTCTCATCTGGGACTCATGTTTCTGTTGCTGCTGCAGCCGCTCAGCCTTCTGCCTTTTTTCTTCCTGTTGGGAAAACTGGGCCAGAAATGACAAGGGAGGCCTCAGTGAAAAGCATTCGGGCAAAAAGCAGAAGCAGAGCCCCAAAATAAATCCCGGCCTCGTCGAAGGGAATCTCCTGACAGTTCTCACCCAGGACGCCCCTGCCGGGGCTCATCGCCTTGGGCTCCAAAGCGGCCTATTCTGCTAACTTGATTTTGAACCGTGAATTGATCCACCGTTAGCTGACAAGCAGCCAACATGGATGCCAGATAAAGCAATCTCCTTGAGGATTCCAGAAGCCAGGTAAGAGCCTTTCAGCATGAGCCATCATGTAGTACAATATAATAGCAACCACTAACGTTTTTGTAGTGCCTTGAAGTTTAAGGAATACTTTTCCTCCAGCAGCCTTGTGAGGGAGGCAGGGCATTCTTTTTAGTAATTTTGTTTTTTGGGTTTTTGGGTGTTTTGCTTCTCTCCTTCCCCAAAGTTCAGTTTCTGTGAAGATACATACCCTTCAGCCAGTCAAGCAATGACGCTTATTGAGAATCACAGCTCATCTTTTATCTCCCTCTGGTGGTTCAATTCACTGGACAAAGCGCTAACTCCCTAGCCAGGGGTGGGGAACCTGCATGTAGCCTTTTGCCTGCATCCAAACTTTACAGAACAAATCCTTAAGGGTCTAGAAGGCCATATGTGGCCTCAAGGCCACAGGTTCCCCACCCCTGCCCTAGACCTCGAACTGTGCTAAGCAATAAGGATAGAGATTCAAAAACGAAATGACCCTCAACCTCAAGGAGGCTGCCTTCTACTGTGGAGGAGGGGGCGGATCAGGGGTTGGAGCAGCAAAGGGACAAGGGGCAGAGAAAACACATCAAGTGCAGAGGCGAGTCAACACAACATGATTGGAAGAGGAAGCAAACACCTAAGAGATGAGTTCAATTCTAACTTCTCATGAGACGCATCAGCAACAAAACCAAAAACAAAATGCCAGTTGTTGTTTGTTTTTGTCAAAGACTGTGGGGACTTTTCCTGGTACCCTCTGGTAGGAGACAAGACAGGACAGAACTGTGTGAACCGACCGGGACGTGGGAGAGTCCAAGAAGCACCTCCCTCGTGGGCCTTCACTCCCTCTCTGAGCTGCGTTGAGGCTCACCTGCTTAATCTTCTCCCTCTGCTCTGACGCGCTCCCACCACCATTGATATGGAGACTCTTCTTGTACATGGCCATTCGAGTCTTGCCTTCACTTCTCTGGATCTTGGGGAGACGGGCCTTCTCTTGTTGCTGCCGGACCTTTAGCTGTTCTATCATTCGCTGATTGTAACGCTGCATCTGCTCCCGCTCCTAGGGCCATCAAAATGGCAGAGCCGTTAGTTTTTTTTTTAATTTTTTTTGTAAATTTTATACACATCAGACCATATGAAAGGATTCAATATAAAACAGTAAATTTTCATTTCAAGAAAACCTATATAATAAATACTACCCATTGTTTTCAAAGCTGCCCAGCTCTTCTTTGCTTACTTGTTGGTTTTCTTTTGTTCTCTGCTGTGCACTTCATACTTTATTTTTTCCCCTCCCTCCACCCACCATCCTAAAGAAGGCTACGATTAAGTGTGGCTATCTATCTATCTATGTATACATACATAGATACCTATAAACATACACATATATACTCCTGCACATGTATGTAAAACCACACTATGCTTATTTCCTTCTATCATCAGTTTCTCTGAAGGTGGATAGCATCTTCCTTCCTAAGTCTTTCCATGTTTTTCTAAATCAATCAGCTTATCATTTCCTAGACCACAGCAATATTCCAACCCAATCACATCCTACCTGAGAGATTGTCTATGAAAGTTGTTTTCCCCAATTTTCTTCATTCCTTCTATTTTTGGTCTCATAAGCTTTATTTATACAAGAAAACTTTCATTAAAATAATCAAAATTATTCTTTTTACATTTCAACAATGCTCTCACCTTACAATACGTTTAAGGTCTGATACTACCCAATGTACTTCCTTGACATCATTTTCCCCCTGGTTTCTTTGAAGTTCCTGACCTTCTAAATCAATTTTGTTATTATTTTTTTCTAACTCAGTAAAATAATTTTTTAGTAATTTAATTGGGATGACTTTGAATAAGTAGATTAAGTAGAATTGTCATTTATTATAATGATATTGGCTTTACCTACACATGAACAACAAATATTAAATTATTTAGATCTAAGTTTATCTGTATAAAGAAAGCCACTAGTCTTGCCAAAGAACAGAAGTTAGAGGAGAAGCCATGATGGAATGAGTTTAAAAGATGAAGATGTTTCGCTGAAATCAGGAGAGCAACAAAACTTTAGATCTGGGAGAAGAGATTTCTCTTGGTGATTTCATCAGTAGAGGGAAGTCTCCCTCGAGGAATCTCCACTAGAGCAGATCAGTACCTGCTCTGTAATTTCAGGTCTCAGCTTAGAGCAGGAGTTCCTAACCTGAGGCCCATGAACTTGCCTTTTAAATATCTTGATAGCCACAATTCAATATAATTAGTTTCCTTTGTGATCGTATGTGTTTTATGCATTTAAAAATATTACTCTGAGGAGGAATTCTCAGAAACTGTCAAAAGAAAACAGGCTTCGCTAGATGGCCAAAGAAGTCTATGCCACAAAAAGACTGAGGCCCTCGTTTGAGTTGCCTGGGACTCTGAAATGTCACGTGACTTACTCTAGATCAGTTTATACGGCTCTTGAACCCAGGTCATCCTGGCTCTGGGCTGCTCTCTAGCTACTGTTCTCTCTTCCCTTCTCTCAGGAGGGATCTTAGCTGTCATTCAATCTAACTCCTTTATCTTATAGAGACCTTGACTTCCCATGATCACAAAGGCAAACCGTAGCAGCCGGAATGAGAAACCAGGTGCCCTGACTTCCAATTCAGTGCTCTTTTCTTATGACCTTATTATTAGCCTCCTAATGCTATTAACCCATCCTCCCCTTCTGAGGCAGCTAGGTTGCTCGGTGGATAGAATAATGGACTTGGAGTCAGAAATACTCATCTTCCTGAATTCACACACATCAGCTCTGTGACCTTTGACAAGTCATTTAATCTGTTTGCCTTAATGCACTGGAAAAGAAAATGGCACATCACTCCAGTATCTTTGCCAAGAAAACTCCACGGACAGTGTGGTCCATGGGGTTACGAAGAATCAGACACAACCCACAACAAGGACTGCTCCCCTTTGAGGGGAAAAAGGCAAATTACACAGAAGCAAAGTTTCATCAGTGATTTACTCAAAACACCAACTTGCGGACTGCCTTCTGGGGTCAATGCATGTTGATCCCAGTCCCATAGGCCTTCTCTACCTACAAAGTCATAGAATGAAGACTGATACTTGGATGGATTTGTTTGTTTGTTTGTTTGTTTGTTTTGAGACTGGGTCTCCCTATCTTCCCAAAGCTGGAAATTCAGCTTACGGGCATGGAAGCCTTGACCTGCTCCATTTCTGTCCTGGGTGGGTTTGCCCACACCAGTCTCAGAGGCCTCTCAGGTAGCAAAGATCGAACACGGGCATGTGCTACCAGGCCTGCTGAATCATGTTTTTAAGAGTCTCAGTCATCAGAAATTCAGTTTGGCACACCGAAGCAAAAATATTTTAGAAGACTTGTCAACGAGGAGTTTTTGAATAACCCTCAGTTAACCCGAAAATCAAATTAACCTGAACCTCTGGTTAAAAGAAGTTTTACTATAAGACAACATCAGTGTAGGTCCTCTATCCAACAATTACAAGGCAGGAGATCACAACCTAGAGGCCAAAAACCATCAAGGAGGCGAGGGGCAGGGCAGCTCGGCATCGTAACAGGCATGCCGCTGCTGCCTAGACTCGTCTCCATTCCTTATTCCTGATTTGTGAGGGGCAGTTAGGTGGCATGGCGAATAGAGTACCCGGCCTGAGGGCTCCTCTTCCTGAGCTCAAATCCAGCCTCAGACACTTACTAGCTGTGTGACCCTGGGTAAGTCACTTAACCCTGTTTGCCTCAGCTGTCAAATGAGCTGGTGAAGGAAATGGCAAACCACTCCAGTATTTGTCAACAAACAAACAAACAAACAAACAAACAAACAAAAAACCTAAATGGGGTCATGAAGAGTCAGACACAACTGAAAAACAACTAAATAACAACTGGTATATTGGAAAGAGAAGTGGACATCAATACAAGAGAAATTTGGGTTCAGATTTTGCCTCTGGCACCTGCTACTTGCAAAACCCTGCTCGAGCACCACCTTCACCATGAAGTCTTCCCTAATCCCACCAGATGCTAGTTGGTCCCCTGCCCCACTGACCTTACATTTATTTTGTAGATGTTCTGAATGTGCTTTAAAAAGCACATTATCTCCCCTTCCCTTCTCCTCTTCCCTGTGTAAATTCTTTGAGGACAAATGTTTTCCTTTTTGACTTTGTGTCTGCGACACTTAGCACAGCTGGGGCAGCTAGGTGGCTCTGTGGATGGAGCACTGGACTTGGAGTCAGGAAGGCCTGAATTCAAATGCAGCCTCAGACACTTACTGGGCATGCAGCTCAATTTCCCCGTGTAAAATGGAGATAATAGTCACATCTACCTCTCAGAGTTGTTTCAAAATAAAATCAGATATTTGTAAAGCTCTCGGCAAATCTTAAAGAGCTATATGAATACTAGCTAGTATTATTAGCACAGTACCCGGCTCATAATAAGCACTTAATAAATGCTTAATGACTGACTGACTGATTTGTAAGATCAACATAACAATAACTTGCAGTACTCACTTCACACGGTTGTTGTGAGGTTCAAATGTCATAGTTTGTGTAAGTGCTTTGCCAGCTGTAATGTACAGCATAAACACCAGATAGTATTACTATCGTTGTTGTTTGTTGTTATTTTCTGGACACAAGCTGAAAACAGAAGGCTATCCTGGGCAGGCTAGTGGTCTTTCCACCTACTCACATGCAAACACTCCAGAACGGTGGTTTTTCGGGAATAGACTAACAGCCTTTTTACAGACTAATAGTGCAATGTCTCAAATTCTTACTGTGGGTGATGGTTACTCTTTGGGGGATGTGATTTATTTCTGTAGTTTCTCCAAACCCTTTGATGATCAGCCACGTGACCACAGGGTCAGGCTGAGATGTGTGAAGAGCCCAGTGGCAGCTGCCATGGGGTCGAAACAGAAGACAGGGCCTACTCAAAACAGAGAATTTCATTACTCAGCATTATTCCAGCCAATTGTGCTCCCTGACACTTCTCTGGGCAGTGCTTTGAGAGAAATCTTGACTGACACTCACATCCTCCACTCCTGTCCTTTCCTTCCCAATGCACTGGGTCTTGTTCAAAAAGCTCATCTGAGAGGTTCTTACCCTGGGGCCTGTGGATGTTTCCAAAGTATACCTTCTCTGATTCCTATATTCCAACACAACTGGTTTCTTTTGTTACTTTGTGTATTTTATTTCATACATTTGAAAATATTATTCTGAAAAGAGGTCCAGAGGCTTCACTAGATGCCAAAGGACCATGAAATACACAGGAAAGGTTAAGGGCCTCTGTTTTGAAGCCAGAAAGTGCCTTAAATGATCTGCCATGGGCTTAAATGCCACTAAGGTCCCTTAACTGATAGGTGCTCAAGCAAAGGTTCTCCACACATTCCATGTTACTATGAAAAGAAAAGCAGGTGCGCCTGTCCAGGGGCGGGGTGTCCCCCTAATGCCAACAGCCAAGGCCACAGCTGAAGCCCAAAGCAGTATTTAAGAGGAGGATGTTAGACTAGGGGTGGGTCTATGGAGCTGGGTGGAGGCCTTTTTTCTTTCCTTGCACAGTCTTTGCTCTAACCTCTACATCACTTTCAAAAAACAGAATAATATGATCACAGATTTAAAGCTGGTCATTGTGTAGAATCATTTCATTTAGCAGATCATAGGATCACTGTGCTTTGCATACATTAAGAGCTTAATCGATGCCCTTCCTTTCTTCCTTTCCACCTCCCTTCCTCCTTTCTTTCCTTCCTCCTTTCTTTCCTTCCTCCCTTGTTTCCTTCCTCCCTCCCTCCCTGCCTTCCTCTTTCTCCCTTGTTTCCTCCCTCCCTCCCTCCCTGCCTTCCTCCCTTGTTTCCTCCCTCCCTCCCTCCCTGCCTTCCTCCCTTCTCTCCCAAATCAACCCTGCAGGTGCCAAGAGCTTTGACAGTTGCATCTACTCCAAAGTCACCTAATCTGAGCTCCCCACTTTATGGTTGACAAAACTGAGGTCCACGAGCAGCTGGGTGGCGCAGTGGATAGAGCTCCAGCCTTGGGAGCCAGGAGGACCTGAGTTCAAATGCAGCTCAGATACTTGACACGTACTAGCTGTGTGACCCTAGGCAAGTCACTTAACCCAAACTGCCTCACCAAAAAGCAAAAAACAAAACAAAAAACAAAAAGAACCCAAGGCCCAAAGTCTTACAGGTATTAAGTGCAAGAATCAGAATTTGAACTCGGGTCCTGTGACTCCAAACCCAGCACTCTTTCACACTGTACCATGCTAGAGGTCGTGAAGTACACCGGCAGCAGGTTACTATCCTCTAACCCTCTCAAAGCCACCTTCATTCCATATTAACAACAAGAATAAATGAGTAATCAAAGGAGATGATATTTGCAAAGTGCTTAGCACAGTGCCTGGCACATAGCAGGTGCCAAATAAATGCTTACTCCCCTCCCCTCCCCTTCTCTAATAATAGCTGATATTTGATAGAGTGCTCTAAGGTTTACAAAGCACTGTGTATATTCTGTCTCATTTGAGACTAACAGCTCTGTAGGCACCATAGGAATTATCCTCCTCATTTTACAGAAGAGGAAAGTGGATGGGCTGGCACAGTGGAAAAAGTGGTTTTGGAGTCAAAGAATCTGGGTTCAAATCCCGCCTTTGCTGTGTGACCTTGAGCAAGCCATTTACTCTGTCCAGGCCCTAGTTTCCTCATCTGTAAAGTGAAGGTGGTGGTGGCCTAGATGACCTTATCTCTAAGATCACTTCCATCGCTATGATCCACCTTCACCACGGTCACGCGGGCGTTATGGGGATGGAGCTAGGATTTGAACCAGTTCTCTCCCGACTCGGAGTCTAGCACCCATGAGTTCCAGATGGGCAGTCACCCGGATGCTACTCTCCCGCCCCCGTCTCTCAGTCACCTGAAGAGGAAGCTCTCCTACCTTCTCGTGCTTTCGGAGCAGTTCATGCCTTTGGAGGAAATACTGGTCCTTCAGCTGCTGCTTGACAAGCTGGTGTCTTTCTTGTAGGTGATGCTCTTCAAGCTCCCAGAGGGAGGCCTCCCGGTCTAAGGAGAACAAATCAACCCCAGAGAAGATAAACCAATCAGGACAAAGGACAAGAAGAGCTGAGGGCAAGTCCGAGATGTCTTCCCCACCCCCCCCACACCACTTTTAGTCTTCAGGAAACCCAGTCTGTTCATTCACCTCCATCAAGCCCCTCTATGACTCTTGAAACAAGTGGTCACCGAGCTTCCCTGGAGGTTCTCAACCAGAGGCTGAATGACAACTTGACACTATGCTAGAGAGGGCTCTCTGCAGCCACAGAAGGAAGCAGTGAGGTGGCGCGGTGCAGAATGCTCTGGAGTAGGAGTCAGGAAGACCTGAGTTCAAATCCCACCCCAGATGCTTACCAGGTATGTCACCTTGGCAAGTCACTTTAGCGCTGTCTGACTCAGTTTCTTCCTCTATAAAATGGAGATAATAATACCACCTACTTCACAAGGCTGTTGTGAGGGTCAAAGCACTTCACATACACTGTGACATTTGAACTTCGCAACAACCATGTCAGGCAAATATTTCGAGTTACTGTGCTCACAATCTTACAGACCAGTCAGTAAGCATTTACTGAACACTGCCCATGTGCCAGGCACTATGCTAATCATAATAGCTAGTATTTATATGGCGCTTTAAGATTTGCAGATAGCTTTATAGATATTTCATTTTATTTCAAAACAGCCCTGAGAAGTAGATGGTATCATTACCCCCATTTTACAGATGAGAAAATTGAGGCACCCAGCCGTGTCTGGGTGAGTGAGTGGGTAAGTCTTGCCTCGTGTCACACACCTAGTAAGTGTCTGAGGATGGACTTGAAAAGAGCTCCTCTCTAGATGTGAGCCTGTTACTAACTCAGAGGGGTTGGACTAGAAGGCTTCTGAGATCTCTCCCAGCTCTGAGATTTCATCACGTCTGTTGACTCACTGTTTGACAGAAAAGAGGACCTCAAGCACTTGGTACTTCTTGAGAACCATATCTGCAGCACTGTTTATTTGTAATTTCATTTCTGGCTTTTATTTTCAGTGCTTAGCACAGTGCTAACACAGAGCAGGCTTTAATAAGTGCTTGTTTGAACAAAATGAATGCAGCCAACATTAGAAGGAAAGCAGGAAAGTGGGGGCAGGGCAGGGGGAATTTTACAGCAAGTTTCTCTGAAAAAGGCCTCATTTCTCAACTATATAGAGAACTGAGTCAAATTTATAAGAATATAAGTCACACCCCAATTGATAAATGGTCAAAGAATATGAACAGGCAGTCTTCAGAAGAAGAAATTAAAGCTATCAATAGTCATTTAGAAAAATGCTCTAAAGCTCTACTGATTAGAGAAATGCAAATTAAAAAAAACTGTGAGGTACCACCTCACACCTATTAGATTGGCTAACATGACAGAAGAAGAAAATGATAAATGTTGGAGGGGATATGGGAAAACTGGGACACTAATGCACTGTTGGTGGAGTTGTGAGCTGATTCAACCGTTTTGGAGAGCAATTTTTTTTTGGGGGGGTGGGGTTAGGCAATAGGGTTATGACTTGCCCAGGGTCACACAGCTAGTAAGTGTTATGTGTCTGAGGCCGGATTTGAACTCAGTTCCTCCTGACTCCAAGGCCAGAGCTCTATCCACTGCGCTACCTACCTGCCCCATTCGGAGAGCAATTTGGAATTATTCCCAAAGGGCTCAGAACTGTGCGTACCCTTTAATCCAGCAATGCCACTACTAGGTCTATATCCCAAGGAGATCAAAGAAAAAGGAAAAGACTTACATGTTCAAAAATATTTATAGCAACTCTACTTGTAGTGGCAAAGAATTGGAAAATGAGAGGATCCCCATCAATTGGAGAATGGCTGAACAAGTTGTGGTATATGATGGGATAGAATACTACTGCACTATAAGAAATGACAAGCAAGATGGTTTAAAAAAAAAACCCTGGGAAGACTTACATGACCTGATGCCAAGTGAAGTAAGCAGAAACAGAAGAACATTGTATACAGTAACAGTAATAATGTACAATGATCAACTGTGAATGACTTAGCCATTCTCAGCCACACAAAGACCTAAGACAATTCCAAAGGACTTCTGATGGAAAATGCTATCCACCTCCAGACAAAGAATTGGTGGAGTCCGAATGCAGATCAAAACTTTTTTTTTAACTTTATTTCGTGAGTGTGTGTGTGTGTGTGTGTGTGTGTGTGTGTGTGTGTGTGTGTTTCATGGAGGGGAAGGGGGTCCACATTTTATTTTGCAACATGGATAACATGGAAATGTTTTGCATGACTGCAGATGTATAATCTATATCGAATGGCCTGCCTTCTCAAGGAGCAGGGAGAGCAAAGAGGAAGAAAGAGAATATGAAATTCAAAATTTAAAAAAAGCAAAATGTTTAAAAAAATTTTCCTATGTAATTGAGAAAAAATAAAATTAAAAACAGATATAATTTGGGGATAAATGCTTGTTGATTGACTGACTGATTGCCCAGGCTGGGTTTTCAAAGATGTGGGGGTTTTTTTGCTCCTTCTAGCAGTTTCCTTGAGCAACAGAGGGAGGTAGGGAAAAGATCACTGGATTTTGTCTCAGAAGACCTAATCCTGCCACTTGCTACCTCTGTGGCCTGTGCAGTTTATAGACCTCTAGCATTGGAGTTAGGAGGACCCAAGTTCGAATCCAACCTCAGACACTTGACACTTACTAGCTGTGTGACCCTTGGCAAGTCACTTAACCCCAATTGTCTCACCAATAAAAAAAAAAGAGGGAATTGGACTAGATGATCTCTAAGGTTATTTATGGCTCTAAAATTCTATGAATATATGCCTATGGGACACAGTTCTATTTCATTGACTGAGGAAATGGGATGAAGTAATGAATGAATGAATGAATGATCCTAAGACTGACATATATACACATACATATATATATATACACACACACATATATATACACATATATACATATACATTATATATATACATATGTACATATATACACACACATATATACACATATATACATATACATATATATCTCTATATAGATATAGATATAGATACAGATACAGATACAGATATAGATATAGATATAGATATAGATATAGATATAGATATAGATATAGATATAGATATAGATATAGATATAGATATAGATATAGATGGGACGACCTCACATCTGCCACCTCGTCCTTTCTTGCCCTCTAAACTCCACAGCCTGACCAAAGTCTAACACTTTATCTACGGCAAATCTCAATTAAGTCGTGCTTCAGGGTGTCTACAGAACGATGATATTTGGTGTTCAGAATGACGGCCCTGAGGCGCTACAAGATCCTGAAGTCTTTCTGAATCAAAGGAAGATTAATTATAAATCCAGCCTAGCTGAAGCACTGTATTTCATTATTTCCTAATTCGATGAAAATTGGTAAGCCGTGTATAGAGGATCTCGCCTTACACACATGTGATCTATCTAGTAAACCTTTATTCACCAAAACAGCTGCTCCACCAGAACGTCCCCTCGGTGCCAGATAGACAGGGTGCTGTACGTGACTACCACTCCCTGGCCACTGATAAAACTCACTTCTTGCAGTTCATCTCAATTAGGTTTCAATGGTTTGTAGTCATAAGACATCCAGATGATCCGAACTTGGTGGTTCTTTCTTCTCAAGGGCACTTCCTGTGCATCCAGGATGTGGCCCGAACCCAAACACCTTTCCTTTCTACCCACCTCGAAGAAGCTCTTGCTTCCTATTCAGGCATTCCCTCTCTTTGTCACAGATCTCCCGTCTATTTTCAGCTGTGATCCTTTTCATAGCTAACTCCAAGTCTCCCTTCTGTTTAGCAACAAACTCTTTGTCCTGCAAGGATGAGAGAAGGAGATCAAGCATATACATCACCAGCAACACACGTAGCGACACACTTGGTCACTCTCTGCCCCAAACCGACCAGTACTCTGTCTCTGATTTAGGCATGGAGGCACAGGCTGTGGGCATGGCTACTCTCTCTGGCACCAATCTCAATGGTCAGAGACGGACCCCCACCCCCAAATAAAACATTAGGGTTCTGTCATTCCTGAACTTATCTCTCATGAGCTCATTCCATTGCTTTAGTAGAATGGAAGATCCCTGAGGGCAGGCACTATCATTTTTTTTTTGTCTCTGTATTCTTAGCTTTTAGTATAATGCTAGGCAAATGCTTGCTGCATTGAACTGAATTGAATCCAGTATGTCTCACGTCTTAGAATATTTGGTTCCTCAAGTTTCCTGCAGCACTATGCCCTTTTGCTTTTGCTAAAAACGACTTCTAGACTCCAAAAGGAAGTTTGGGGCCCTCCTCTCAGCCCTCCAATAAGAGGGCTGCCTTGAGCCTGGTACGAAACAGCAGAGATAGCATGTAGATGAAAGATAATTCTTCTTACCACACAGGTTTCCTAGAATGGGATAGGCCTAGGAATACTTCTCCCTCTTAACCCAAGTCTAAGACTGGCCATTCATTCCACCAATATTGACTGAGCATCTGTTACATACAAGGCATTATGCTGGGCATCCTTGGGAGATATAAAGGTTCATAAAACACAGCTCTAGGCCTCTAGGAGTTGACAATCAAATACTCCGGCCCAGTCAGACACCTCATAGGAGAAAATAAGGGGGAAAAAATTAAGTAAGAAAATAAGGGACTGAAGCAAGTGTTAGGATGCTAATAGCTTAGGGACAACCCACACCTTCTGAACCTTACATAGGAGCTCTTCCTCCTTAACCCAAACCTGGCAAAATTCCTCTCCTTATTCCTGCTCCAAGTTCCCATCTCTTTCCCTTCTTCCCTCCCTCCTTTTCTTCCCTTGGCCTGCCAGCAGGTCTGGAGCTGATTCTTTCTCCCCAAGTCCCCACTAGCCGGGCCTCAATCCTGCAACGGGAAACTGCGGCATTGCCAGGTGCAAAGGCTGAAAACCAGAGACCCTGCAGAACTGTAACACGGTGACCTTGCGCGTAGGTCGGCCCCGCTCACCAGAATCTGTTTTTGCTGCGTGTGCTCCTCCATCTTCTGCTTCATGCTCTCTTTCCGTTGCTGTCGAGGCAGTTTCTCCACCTCATTCTTCACCTGCAGGAAAGATGACAATGAGCTTTCAGTAAGATAAGCTAGTCTTGTCCGCTTCCCTAAGGAAATCTGTTCCAGGTAAGGAAACTCCCTTGACTAAAGCAGATCGGCAGCTGCCCTATTGCTAAGTCTCATCGCAATGACCACATGAGGTAGGCAGTACAAACATTATCATCCCCATTTTAAAGATCAGGCAAACTCATATTTGATGAGAACCACCAAGTCCTGATCATCTGCCTCAGAAAGGCTGAAAAACTCACTCATGGTCACACAGCCAGTAAATATGAGAACCAGGATTTGAACCCAGATCTTTCCTGACTCCAAACTCGGTGTTCTTTCTGTAACCACACACCACTTCACTTCACAGTTGATTGCTGAGGAATGAATGACAGGAGACTTGCCCAAACACACAAATGACTTTCCATATCCCCTTTGTGAAGGGCTTCCCTTGTCTCCAGTTTTGTAGGACAGTACAAGTTTGGGTCAGTCGATCAAAAAATGAGTATTAAGGGCCTCACCTTGTGCCAGGCACTGTGTTAGATACTGGAGATACAGTAACAAAACTGAACAGTCTCTACCTTCAAGAAACTTAAATTTTATCAAAGAAAAAAAATAGCCAAAAAAATTTCTTTGTAAATAAAAAACAAAGCCAACACGGACACATACAACTCTATACCAAACAGATAGAAAATAAAGAGAATTTGGGGGGGGGGGTGCTGGTAGCAGCGGAGGAGGGGGGGTCTGAAAAGACCTCAAAGTAGGAAATGTCACTTGAACTGAGTTTTGAAGGAAGCTCGAGATTCTAAGAGATAGAGGGAAGGAGGGAGGGTATTCTAGGCATGGGGTGAGGAAATGGATGGCATGTGTGAGCTCAGGGCAAGGAGAAGGTCCACTTAGCAGGATCACAGAGCACATTTAGGGGAGTAGGGAAGGGGGATGGAATAAGCATTTAAACAGCACCTGCTATGTGCCAGGCCCTGTTAAGTGCTTTTTACAAACATTATTTCATTTGAGAGTAATCTCAAATTATCTCAATTGGGAGTAACATATAATAAACCTGGGAAAAAAAGGTCAGAGGCAGATTATGAACAAACATAAACAGCAAACAGGGGTTTTGTCCAAGAAGAAATCACCCGAGCTTGCTAAGTGGAAGAGGGGCACAGTCAGACCTGTGTTTAGGAATCACTTTAGCAGCTTGTGGGGGATGGCTTCTGTCCTTGAGTGGTCATTCCCAGAAGTCTTCAGTTATCTAGAAAGCTTGAAGAATCTGGGCGCCAAAGACCACTACGATGAAGGGGGCCGTGGCTACTTGGCCTGCCATGTAACGTCCAGGATTCAGCAACCACCCTACTCACCCCTCTACCCTTCGGAAGGTCATCTGCCCCTGGCTGCTGCTGCTGCTGCTGCTTCTCATTTTGAGGCTTAGTGACGCTTTCGTGTGTTGTGTGTGTGTGTGTGTGTGTGTGTGTGTCTTCATACCGTGGTCACTTCCAAAATACAGCCCTCTCCCTTGTAACAGATGGGTCACTTAAGCAAACCAGGCCTACATGTGGACTATGTTGGACATCATCTGCCTCGTTCTACTCCCATAGTCTTCCCATTTCATACCCGGCTCTCGACCAAGATACTTCTGAGCTCCTTCAGACCAGTTCCGGGGACTTCTACGAGGCCTAGCACAGGGCCTGGTACATAGGAGGTGCTTAATAAACGCTTCTTTACTTCTTTCCTTCCTTTCTACTAAGCCTTCAAAGCCTTCTCTTCTCCTTAGGGGTCAGAGGGGCACCATTGCTTTCCTAGGTCCCTGAAGGTGGTAGTTGGGAGAAAAGCCAGCATCCCCTGGCCACTCCTTCAACGTGTTTATAGAAAGACCAAAGAAAGAAGAATGTTCCCCAGGGAAGGCCTGAGTGGCTGTTCACATGCGTGCACATGTGTGTGAGTGCAGTAAGAGACAAATCATTCCCCTAATCACCACTGCCCATGCTAAGTGCAGCCTTCAGCCTCTCTTCCCTCCCTCTGCTCCCGGAGAGCCGTCGCCCACAGTATCTCCACACTGCGTGGGGCTCAGCCACAGGTCTTTCAGGAGCCCCTGTCAGACCGGGCTGCCCTAAACCCCTCTGGCTACAGGTGGAGCTATTAGGTACATGTAAAGAAGCATCTTCAAATTTCAAAATCCCCGCATTGTCTCAACATTCATTGCCCAACCTAAGAGGTTGGTCACACTGGACCAACTCCACTTCTGGGCTCTTGCCCATAGGGACACCTCTCCCTACTCAGGTGCTGTCTACCCTCACCCAACACTGCTGGCAACCTGACACCATTGCCTGCTCCCCCCACCCACCAATCCAGTTCCCCCAGGGCTGCTACAAGAGGAATAAGGGAAATAATAGAGAGAGCATTGTTAGGGAATAGTAGCAGGAACCAGATGGAGTCTTGCACCTGCCAGCTCTCACATGATAGCCTTTCTTTTTTTTTTTTTTGCTTTGTCATTCATAACACTTTATTTTTTTAAATCTTATTTAATATTTCATTTTTTCCCCAATTACACATAAAAACAATTTTAACATTCTTTTTTTTTCACATTTTGAGTTCCAAAATCTCTCTCCCTCCCCTCCCCGCCTCCCCTGCCCACCTTATTGAGAAGGCAAACAATTTGACATAGGTTATACATGTTTAGTCATGCAAATACATTTCCATGCAAGTCAATCTGTGAAAGAAAACAGACACACAAGACACAAAAAAAAAATAAAGGAAAAGTATTTTTGATCTGCATTCAGGCTCTACCCAGCTCTTTCTCTGGAGATGGACAGCATACGTCCTTTCATCAAATGTCCAATAGAATTGTCTTGGATCGTTGTATTGCTGAGAATAGCTAAGCTATCCATAGTGGATCATCGTACCATGTCGCTGTTACTGTGCACAATGTTCTGGTTCTGCTCATTTCACTTTGATCAGTTCATGTAAGTCTTTTCATGTTTTTCTGACAGCATCCTACTCATCGTTTCTTAAAGCACAAAAGTATTCCATCACAATCACATACAACACCTTTTCCAGCCACTCCTCAACTGATGCACATGCCTTCAATTTCCAATTCTTTTGCCACCACAAAAACAGCTGCTATAAATATTTTTGTACATATAGGTCCTTTTCCTTTTTGTTTTTTAATCTCTCTGGGATACAGACCCAGAAGTGGTATTGCTTGGTCAAAGGGTATGCATGGTTTTATAGCCCTCTGGGCAGAATTCCCAATTGCTTCCCTGGTCACCAAGAGCGTTTTAATTTTCCCACCTCTCCAACGTTTGTCATTTTCCTTTTGTGTTGTATTAAGCAATCTGACAGGTGTGAGGCAGTAGCTTAGAGTTTTAATTTGCATTTCTCTCATCAATAGTGATTAAGCATTTTTTTCATATGACTATAGACAGCTTTGATTACTTTACATGATAGCCCTCCTAAACAAAAGTAACGCAACTGCCCCATCAACAGGCAGGCATGCACTCACATTCCTTTTCTAGGAGAAGTGGTGAATTGGCACCGAGTCATCTCACCTAATCCACCCACACTCTAAGTCTGTAAGATGATTGGCTGGGGCTGAGGTACAGGAGTGGTCAGCTGTTATGCCACGGTTAGGGAACCTGAGGCCTTCTAGGTCCTTGGGTGTGGCCTTCTGACCAAGTCCAAGTTATACAGAACCAATCCTTTTATTAAAGGGATTTGTTCTGTGAAGTTTGGATTCAAAGGGCAGCACTTGAGGACCTAGAGGGCCACACATGGCCTTGAGGCCACAGGCTCCCCACCCCGGTGCAATCCTCTCACTAGTTCTCAATGCTGTTTCCTAAGGATTCTTCCTGCCTTGGTCTCCCCCATAACCTTGGCACCAGGCACAGCAGCCTGTAGCCACAGGACAGCCTGAGCATACCTAACTCAGATCTCATGAGCACTGGACTGTATCCAATGAACTACTGACAGAAGTAATGGAACCAGGAAAGGAATTTTAGAGGGCATGGGTGTGATGGCAGCAGGGGAGGGTCCACGTGGGTGACAAGTGATATTGTTTGATACTGCGTGACTCTAGAGATCCCCTAACAGGATCACAGGATTGAGAGATGAAAAAGACTTTGGAAATCACCCAGTGTCCCCTTCCCCTACACACACACACACACACACACACACACACACACACACACACACACACACACACATACACACTTTACAGCAAGGAAACTGAAACTCAGGGAATGTGTGAGGCAGTGGGAAAAAGCACTAGCTTTAGAACCAGTGGTCCTGGGTTCAAATCCCAGTTCTTCTACTTGTAACACGCATGACTATGGACATGTCAATCTGAACCTCAGTTCCCTCTTTTTACGAGTTGGATTCGGTGGACTCTAAGGTTTTAGCTCTAAAGCTTTGATCCTATGAATTCTTCTGAATATGAACTTAATTTGTTCCTTGACGGGCTCCAAAAGCCACTGCTGATGGCAGGACAATGATTCATGGCCCCCAGAGCTAAAGCCAGAATGGATCTCAGAGAAAACCTGAAGCCCAGGGAAGATACAGGGCTTGGCTAAGGTTATATAAGTAGTAGGACAGGAGGTGGGATTGGAATCCAGACCTTCCAATTCCAATGCCTGCTCTACCTGTGTGTTTAAATCTAAGGCCCTAAGCCCAATACTACATACAGTGAACCATGGTGTCCCCACACAAGTAAACTTCAGTGTAATTGCCCTGTTCTACCTGTGCATTTGAATCTAAGGCCCTAAATTCAATGCCAAGTACAACGGACCATGGTCTCGGGACCCCCCCCCAAACTCCAAAGTACATGCCCTGTTCCACCTGTGCATCCCTAAACCCAGTACCAAGTACAATGGACCACAGTGTCTACACTAGTAAATTCCAAAGTAATTGCACCACTATACCTGTGTATCTAAATTTAAAGCCCTAAACCCAGCACCAAGAACCACAGACCATAGTCCCCCTACACAAGTAAACTACACTAACTCCTTCCCTGTCCCAAGATACCATGTGGCTAGGCTCTGGGGACCAAAATGGGGGACGCAGGGTTGGCAGACAGTAGCAGAATGTAGGCTGGGGAACTGCCAACAGCAGGACTCTGAGATGATGGGATATATGAGAAAGACCAAAAGGAAGGGCCTTCTCTGAGCCTCCTCTCCAGCCAGCTGGACAGCTCTATGACAAGGGCTCAGCAGCCCCAGGGCCGAATCTTTCTCTCCCAGAGGAGAGCTCTGGAGGTTGCAGACTTCCTCTTGTATTCGGAGGCTGGAGAGGATTTTCTTCTTCCTTACTCCCATTTTATAAATACCAGTCTCAAATTAATTACATCACTATTCATAGGAAGGAGGTAGTTAGCATATTTAGAAAGGGGATTTAAGCACCCCTACCAACTGGCCTGGTAACAAAAAGCCAAGGCAAGCCCAGCTGATCACTTCGCCAAAATCAAACATCACTCTGATCAGCAAACCAACTCTAAGGAAGGTAGCTGCCAGCAAGTGAACAAATAAACCGAGAACAGAAATGTCAGCGCAGGTCTTCACACTGATACAGACTTCACTGAGTAACAGAGGCAGGATCAGAGAATGGTGAAAAACAAAAAACACCGCACCAGGAGACAAAGGGCCTCAGCTCAAATCCTGACTCCGCCATTTACTATCAGTGTGATCTCAGGAAGACCCTTTGCCCCACTCTGGGCCTCAGTCTCCTTATCTGTAAAATGAGGATGGATGTGCAGGCAGAAAGAACTATAATACCTGGTGGGCATCTGTCGCCAGGTTAAGTCAGCAAACATTTATAAGCATTTACTGTGCCAGGCACTGTGCCAAGTGCTGGGGATAAGGGCAGCTAGGTGGCGCAGTGGGTAGAGCACTGACCCTGAAGTCAGGAGGACCCAAGTTCAAATCCAGCCTCAGACCAAACACTTGACACTTACTATCTGTGTGACCCTGGGCAAGTCACTTAACCCCAATTGCCTAAAAAAAATTAAAAATAAAAAAAGGGAGGGAAACCAAGTGCTGGGGATGCAAAGAAGGACCAAAACAGCCCCTGCCTTCAAGGAGCTTGCATTCTAATGGGGGAGACAATATGCAAACAACTAGCTACGTAGGAGATAAATACAGGGTATGTGGAGGTACTCTCTGAGGGAAGGCACAGGCAGGGAGTGGGGTTGGGAAGAAGGTGGGGTTTCAACTGAGACTTGAAGGAAGCCAGGAAGCTAGGGGAACCAGAAGGTGGTGAGAAAGGAGAGCACTCCAGGCATGGAGAATCACCAACAAAAAGGCATGGGAATCCGGGACGGAGTAAAGTGGGTGAGGAACACAAAGGAGGCCAGTGTGGCTGGATCGCAGAGTCCATGGAAGGCAGGACAGTAGAAGAAGACTGGAAGAAGGGGCCAAGTGGCAAAGGGCTTTGAAGCTGAACAAAAGAGTTATATTTGATCCCGGAGGTAAAAGAGAATGACCAGAGTTCACTCTACTGTGTTGCCTTATCTCATACTCAGATAATTTGGGTTCTCAGAAAACAGTGGCTTTCTTTATCCCAGACTTCAGCATCTGGTTACCTCTGCCCACCTCAGTATGAAAAAGTACAGTGCCTAAAGTGTGGGTTCTTAGCTTTTTCTGTGTCACAGACCTGTTTAGCAGTCTGGTGAAGCCTGTGGTCCTCTTTTCAAATAATGTTTTCCTGCCTGCATTCATAATCGAAGGAAATGCTAAACTTTAGTTACGGGTTAATGAACATATAGATGTAATTTATTTTTCTCATTCAAGTATCCAGACCCTGTGAAATCTATCCAAGAATTCTGTAGACCTCGGGTTAAGAGTCCTTACCCTGACAGCTGAAGAGAGGTGCCATTAAGAAGAAGCCTTTTTTATTTTTTAAGTTTTATTTTAAGTTTATTTTATTTTAAGTTCATTATTCTTGCTGACTTTCTGCCCTGTTGAAGGAGTGTCCATACTAGGTAACCACTCCGGTCGGTTTCCAACCTCTGCTTCTGCAGAAGCTGGGGATTTATGGTGCATGGCAGAATCAGAGGGATTCCCAAAAGGGTCACTAGTAAGAAAACAAGCTGGAGAAGAACTTGTCTTAATGGACGGGATCACCTGCCATCTTGAATCGATCTTTGTTGCTCGTCCATTCTTTACAATAGGAGCTTCTGAAATTGGATGTGGTCATGATTCACAGTCATCTGCCTCAGGATCCAGGGACCACAGATCTAAAGTTGGAAGGGACCTTAAACGGTCATCTCCTCCAACCCCCTCGTTTTACAATGAGGAAACTGAAGCCCACAGAGGCCATATAAGGTCACAGAGGTGGGAGTTGAATATAGATCCTCTTAATCCAGATCCAGGGCTCTCTATGCAGTATTACGTAGCCTCTGTAATTGTGACCCACCTTTCTTCACCCCAGCAGTATAACTATGGTGAGGCCAGTACGGCACTGAATCGAAGGGAAGCAAAAGAGGAAGGAAAGGCATGAGCATTAACAGAGTGCCCACTGTGTACCAACCACTGTGCTATGTGCTTCTTATAAGTTTAACTTCATTTGCTTCTCTCCACAACCCTGAGAGGCAGATACTATTGTTGTTATCCCTATTTTTATAGTTGAGGAAACTGAGGCAGACAGAGGTTAAGTGACTTGCCCAGAGTCATACAGCTAAGAAATAGGTGAGCCTGGATTTTAATTCAGGTCTTCCCAACTCCAGGCCCAACACTCTCTCCACCATGTGTATCCCCCTCTAGACCATCACATACTCCCCATCTCATTCCCACAGCTTAAGACTTGAGCACCTTTCACCCTTCAAAACCCATTCCCAAAATGCATTCAAATCCCAAACCCAAAAACCACTCGAACCCCAAGGGAGCAGCCCTTCTCCACTAGACTGCACCTTGTGGCATGTCTGAAGGAGGCAGGGGGAGAGAGAACAGGCAGGTCAGCAATCTGAAGACCGCCCGTGCACCTGGGAGCCTGACCTAGGACCAGGAATCTGCCCCTGACTCTACCTCCTTCTTCTTCATCTTGAGCTGCTCCTGGAACTGGGCGTACTCCCGCTCCTGCTCAGTCCGGATCCTCTTCGCCTCCTCCCGCCGGCGGAGCGAATGCTCCTGCTCCATCTTCTCCACCTGCTGCTTCTGCTGCCGTTCCAGGTTCTCCAGTTCTGTGTCATAGAATTTCTTCTTGGCCTGGGCAGAGAGAGAGAAGGACAACCCCACAGTTTACCGGACTCTTCGACCACTTTATAACAGGCTTATAAGCTATGCTGACTTAGACCTGGGTTCAAGTCATGGCTCTCTCTCCAGGAAACACTCATGGGACAAGAAGTTAGCCCTCCCAGTTCTCCTGAGCTGTGTCCTGGCACAACCCTGGCCCCACCCTGACCCCCCACCCCGGCTTCTGTCCTCATCAACTCCAAAAGAGGAGAAGGGAGGCCTGGCATTGGTTTCCATTTTCAGCAGGAAAGGGAAAAGACTAAAAGAGAAGTCAACAATGTTTCCAGGGTGGTAGGCCAAGGCTTCCTTTATTTACTCCCTCATACAAAGTTTAAGCCCATAAAGAAGGGTAAGTATCCTTGGGAGGAGCAATCAGCATCCTCATACTGGGGCCCATCAGGAGGAGGGGTCAGCCACGCCTCGGATGGGAACAGCCACTAGATTATCAGCTCTAATTTTGTCCATCAAACATGGTGTGGTGGAAAGAACCTTATACCTGGAGTCAGAGGACTGGGTTAAATTCCACTTTTGCTTCTTACAACCTGTGATGACCTTAAGCTTAACCTCTCTGGGCCTCTTTTTCTTCATTTGTAAAATTAGAAGGTTGGCCTGGATGACCTCCATGGTGACTTCCAGCTTTAAATCTATACTCCTATGATCCTTTCAGTCTAGAAAACTTTTGCCAAGAGTTTCCTATTCAAATACAAATATCCCTGGGGAAAGTCATACCCTTATCAAATAAGTCATTATTTCTGAGAATAAACACTTTTCTTTCAGTTATTCATTCATTAAATACATCTGCGTACATGTACGTACATGGAGAAGAAGGGAGGGAGGGAGACGGGGAGAGAAGGAAGGAGGAGAGAGGGGGAGGAGAGAGGGAGAAGGAAGAGGTGGAGGAATTAACTGAGAACGGGACACAGGAGAGTGGCCTACATGCTGGAAAAATACTGGCATAAAAATACATTTGAAGAGGCTGCCCATGTCTCACAGCGCTGGTATCACTGTAGATGATCATCTTTGGTCTAATGCGACCTTCTGTTCTTTTCAGACCAAAGGTTAATGTTCTCCCGGTCCCTGCAGTGGTCCAGGAAATGCTGCTTTCATGCTCTGGGCTGTCCTACCAGTTTTTTCAATTGGACTGTTTCTAAGGAAAGATAAAGTTAGCGAACCCTTTCCCCACTCACATTTATTTCTTGCTCAAAGCGTCTCTGCATCTGGTCCAGCTGCAGCTCATGTTTGCTGGTCAGCTGGGTCTGGTTACGGTGCTCCTCCTTCTGGAGCAGACGCAACTCTCGGAGCTCTTGGCGCCTGAAGGGTTGAAACAGGAAGGAAGGAGAAAAGGAAGGGAAAGAAAGGAAAGGAAAAGAGGAAAGGAAGAAAAGAGGGAGGAAAGGAAGACAGGAAGAAGGAGGGGAGGGAAGAAGACAGGGAGAGAAGGAAGGAGAGAGTAGGGAAAGAAAGGAGGGAGGGAGAAAAGAAAGGAGGGAAGAAGACAGGGAAGAAAAGAAGGGAGAAAGGAGGCATTTATTAAGTACTTACTATGCTAAACACTGCCCTAAGCATGGCAACCAAAGTCATCCAATTGGCCCTATGTGGGACAAGCCTGGTAGGTGATTTACTTTTCACACACACAGGGAAAGCCTGAACTAACATGGTAAGATGCAGAAACTGAATTACATTGGGCATTGAAAGCCTGGTGTGGTAGAAAGAACAATGGATGGAGGGCGGGAAAATCTGAGTGTCAGCTCTGCCACTAAAGTGACCTTACCTCTCTGGACGTGTCTCTTTACTTTTAAAATTAAGATAGAAGGTGCAAGTAAATGGGATCTTCAGGCTCATTTTCTGCTTTGCCTTTCTATGATTCTGGGAATCTTGTTGAAGGAGTCTGCTTCATAAGGGGCATTTTTTGGTAATTGAATAAAGCTGACTGAATTAGATGCAGGTTAACTCCCTCCAGGGGAATGGTTTATAAATGCTCTAGTCCTGATAAACTCTCACAGAGACTTAATCCTGTCTCCTCTTCACAATGCCTTGGTTGCTCTCACCAAGTTAATTCAGCCTCCAGGATCTACCTCAAAGTTCCAACCTCCTTTTTCCACATGCCAAGGCTCTGCAATTTACAACGTTTACTAACCTCAGGATGCCTTCCAACCAGTGGCTGAGAAGAGACCCCACACTTAACCCATCTCCAATCTGGATGTAACTTTCAAAGGCAGGTTCTAGAGTTTCTAGACTCACCAAGCTTGCCAGTTGAGTCTAGATGCCAACCTTCTCTTCTGTCTAAGAAGAGGAACCTGTGGTGGCCCAAAAGTGGGAAAGGCAAGATACCAACGTCAACTAACCTAATTTCCCTGCAGGGGATGGGCACGACGTGTTTGGAAGAACGGATGAAAGGCAATGAATCTACGAGTAGAGATGAGAAATCCAGAGGTGTCCCTATATCTCCGTCTTTAAAACAACAGCAAAATCATACTGTCCAGGGTCCAGGCATTGGAAAGAACACTTAATAAGGGAAGCTAAGAAGGGTTTAGCCACATTTCAAGACCAGTACCGACCACCAGTATTACAACTACAGGCACCCAAATGTCACAGGAGGCTGATTTCCCCTCTCCCTGTTCCCCTCTCCCCCCTCCCTTTTCCCCTCTCCCCTCCCCTCCTCTTCTTTTCTCCTCCTCCTCCTCCTCCTCCTCTTCTTCTTCTCCTTCTCCTTCTTCTCTCTCTCTCTCCCTCCCTCTTTCTCTCTTTCCCTTTCTCTCACTCTCTCTCCCTCTCCCTCTCTCTCTCTCCCTCTCTCCCCTTCTCTCCCTCTCTCTCTTCCTCTTTCTCCCTCTTTCAGCTCTACCTCAGACCCTAGCTACTCAATGCCCTTCATAATTTAAGGGAAATTCAACCTCACAGACCACAAGCAAGCAGAAAAAAAAGAAAAAAAGAAAGAAAAAGGACTCCTTATTAACAAGCGCCCTGCTCTTCACCTCAGTGAAATCTCATCCATATTACCTGAGCAGAACACAACTTCTCTGTTCATGCAGAGGAGCTCAGCCCAGTTCTGAGGCCAAAGGGCACTCGCTAAATAAGACATCACAGAGCTGGAATTCCAGCTTATGAAATCTGAGCTACTATTGGGTGGCGGTAACATTAACAGGGGATATAGGATAAATTGAGCTCTTTAAAGTACTACTGAAAAGGTGTTTCCTTCCCCCTACAGAGCCTGAGCCCATCCCAAGGGACCAGCTGAACAGAAAACAGCCTAATCCAAAGAAGGCTTTGCCTAGTAGGTGGGACTCCAGGAGGTTTTTACTGGGAAGCAGATATCTATCCAGAATTAACTCCCAAGTCTCTGTAGCTGATGGAGAACTCTAATATACACAGTTCAATTTGTCTTTGAAATGAGTCTTGTATTTATGTAAACTGTAGTATACCTTCTTCCTTTTCCCCCACCAAGCAGAGGCACATTCCCATCACCCCCTTGCCGAAAGGCTCTTTACTAGGCTCTCTTAGATTTTTTCTGAGTGATCACTTCCACTCCCTGAACTTCAAGGATCACCACCAGATGGAAGACTTTTAAATCTCTCTCCAAAACCAACCCTAACCCCTCCTTAGTGGAAAAAGTGAGAGATTTGGACTCAGGAGAGGCCTAAATTTGAATTCTGCCTCTGACAGGTACCAACTGTGTAGCTATAGACAAACCATTTACCCTCTCAGAGCTTCAATTTCTTTATCTGTAAAATGGGAATGATAATAGTACCTACTTTGCAGCGTTTGGGAGAGAATCAAAGGAGACAAATGTCAGCTCCTCCTCCTCTTCCTCTCCCCCCAGCAGCAGGTCCACTTTTCCTATAGCCTACAAAAATCTCTAGCTGGATGCCCCACTGGCTTCTCAAATTCAACATGTCTAAAGCTGACCTACCCTCTTTCCATCCCCAACTATCTTCTTCTGACTTCCCTGTTTCTGCTGATGGTTCTATCATTCTTCTAGTCACCTAAGCTTCAAACCCCAGGTTCTCTTTGATTCCTTATCCCCCATATTCGATCCATTACCAAGGCTCATCATTCTATCTCTATAATGTCACTCAAATCCATTCTCTTTGTGGTTATTATTACTGCTGATAACAATAACAGCTCACAATTACACAGTGCTCTAAGATTTACAAAGCACTTTTTGGCAGCTAGGTGGTACAGTAGACAGAGTACCAGGCCTGGAGTCAGACAGACCTGAGTTCAGATCTGGCCTCAGATATTTACTAGCTGTGTGGCCCTGGACAAGTCACTTAACTTCTGTCTGCCTCAGTTTTATCAACTGCAAAATGAAGATAATAACACTTGCCTCCCAGGGCTGTTGTAAGGATTAAATGGGATAATACAAAGCACTTGGCACAGTGCCTGGCACCTGGGGGGCACTTTAATAAGTGTTTGTACCCTTTCCCTTTCATACATACTTCTTCTCACTTGGTCTTCACAGAAACCCTGTGAGGTAGGTAAATAATTATCCTGATTTTATAAATAATGGAATGAAGGCTCAAAGAAGTTAAAGGAACCATCTAGCATCACATCGCTAGAAAGTGTCTAAGACAGGTTCCGGTCCCAGGCCCCCGCCACTGCCTCTTCTCAGTCTGATGCTCGAAGCTGAACCTCTGGGGTGACTTCAGAAGGCAACCCAAATTGCCCCGTCTTTATCCCAATCCTTTCTCTCTAAAGAAGAAATAATCCAACTATGCTCCACGGCTGCTGCACCAATTGAAAAAACGCTGTCTGCTTGCCTGAGAAATCTCATCTCTTCATCCTTCTTCTCGTCTTCACTGATGATCTTGGACGTGGTGATGCTGACCTCCACGCCGTCCACAACAAACTTTCGGGTACGCTTCAGGGTTCTGTTGTGCAGCCTGGATTCCTGGCCAGAGAAAGAATGAAAAGCAAAACTTACAAATTCAGCTAAGAACAAAAGAACCATACCCTGAATTCCTAACACAAACCCTTATGCTTTTTATTCCAAGAATAAATGTTTATTGACTTGTGGTGAACTGCCTCATCTTCCAGCCAACTCAGTATTCCATCGCTTACATGGGTGCAAAGAAATCATTTTTAAGGTCATAGTTCTCTTCCTTAATGTTAACTTCAAAAGTTAAGAGATCCTCTGCCCTCCACAAATATTCCTAGTTTGCCTTGGCAACTCAGGCTTAAAACCTGATTTCCTGTCCATGTCCTTTCTTCTAGTACTTATATCTGTTTTGTCACGGAGCCTATTTGAGTCTGCCTTTGAAAGGTGTCCTGTCGTGTTCTCTTTCTTTCCAATTTTCTTGCCACCATCCTATTCCATGCTCTGTTCCCTACTCTGGGCTGCCCCAGAATGTGAACAAAGTCACCGATGTTAGTCCTGGAAATTTATCTAGTCCAACCTTGTCACTTTACAGGTGAGGAAACTGAGGCTCAGAGAAATGAAGTGACTTGTCCAAGTCCACTCAGCTAATATGTGAGACCCAAGTCCAACGCTCTTTTCATTTATACCACATCAACATCTGGATTAACGCAACAACCTTCTTGAGTATAGTCTCTCTTTATTCTAATCTCCGCAAACCAATAGCAGGCTAATGGCACATGCTTTTACCACATCATTCCTTTGCTCAAAAGACTATGATGATGCTTTATTGCCCACTATATCATGTTTAGATGTTTCTCCATGGGTTTCTGGACCCACCATCATCTGGCCCGACCCTGCCTCTCCAATTTTATTTTCCAGTGCAACCCAACATAGAAACTCTAGCTCTAATCAGATCTAATCAAATCTTATCAGCTGTATGACCACCCTTAGGCAAGTCATTTAACCTTCTTTGCCTCAGCTTCCTCATCTGTAAAAGGATCTGGAGAAGGAAATGGCAAACCCCTCCAGCATCTTTACCTAGAAAACTCTAAATGGGGCCACAGAGAGTCAGCCACAACTGAAGAGATTCAATAACAACTTGATTCCCTAACTCCCTCCTCACAGAAACTATTCCAAACCTCTTGTCTCTTCAAGCTACCGATCTCTTTCAACTGAGGATCTCACCTTTTAATTAAAAGAAGAAGAAGAAGAAGAAGGAGAAGCAAACAGTGCTCATTGATTCTTCCATGCTGTACGTCTCCCTAATCTATTATCCATCCTTTAGAATCCGGCTCAAGTCCCACATTGTCCATGAACATGCTGACCTTATTTTTCAAACCAAAAATTAGGACATACAGTTTAATAAAAGGTACCCCCTCTGTGAAGCTTCAAAAAAAAAAAAGTGTTTTTTCTTTTCTTAAAATCAGGTCACCATGTCCATATATTCTTCCTTGACTATCCTAAATCCTCATTAGGGTCCAGGGCCTGGACATAACTCCACACTTAGTTATATAATGTCTTGTATTATTTAGTGGTTATCACCAAAAGCAAGGGATAACTAATGAACACCCACATGCTTCCTTAGTGTATTCACAGAATCAGGGAAGGAGACCCTGTCCCCACCCCCGGCGGGGGAGGGGGGGTGGACTAATTTCTCTCCACTGAACCAAAAGGAGCAGTAGGCTGAGAGATGCAGGACAGGAGCAGGCTTGGAAGGGCTGTGACCGATGCCATCGGCAGCCATGCCCACGTTGAGGAGAGCACTGTTCGGCGGCGGTTTCATTGTGGCGATCTTGCTCATCCATATAAAGTGCAATCTTTTTGAGGCAAGGGCCAGCAGGGTCGTATGCTGCCTCTGCCTTCCCAGCATAGAGCCAGTGCCGCTCAATTGGCTGTTGATTGCAGATGTCCTCTATGATTTTAAAGTCATATTTCCAGTCAACTAGCATTTATTAAGTACCTGCTAGATGCCAGGCACTGCGCTAAGGATACAAAAATAGGCAAAAATCAGTTCATGCTTTCTAGGAGCTCCCAGTCTAACGGAGGATACACCACGCAAGCAGCTGTGTACAAATAAGATCTACGCAGGACAAATTCCGAGTGGTGCCAGAGGGAAGGAACTAACGTTAAAGAGGGCTGGGAAAGGCTTCTTGCAGCCCATGGCACGTTGGCCATAGAATATAAATGTGCTATATGCCATGTGAAGGTTTTTTCCCCTATTTTTCTTGAACTTAAGATTTTTAAGGAAATAGGGATGGTTCCCTGATTCTAATATGTTGGAACTTGGCAGAAAGATCTGTGCTTGCCCCCTCCATTCAATTTCGAAAAGCACAGTGCTAGGTGCTGAAGATACCTAGAGACAAACAAAAAGATGATCCCTGCTTTCAAGGAGCCTACATACTAATTAAAGAATACTAGGAGTGCCCAGATAAATGAATACAAGATAACAAGAAGAGGGAGAGAACACAAACAGCCAGAGGCATAAAGAAGGTCCTATTCAGGAAGGTGGCATTTGAGCTGAATCTTGAAGGAAGAAAAGAGACCTGTCAGAGGAGGGGATGCATTCCAGGCAGGGGTGATCACTTATGGGATGGCATAAAGCGGGAGACGGAATGCCAAGTTGGGGAAACAACAAGTGAGACTAGTTGGTTTTATTTTTAAGTTTTTAGGTAATTGGGGTTAAGCGACTTGCCCAGGGTCATACAGCTAGTAAGTGTCAAATGTTTGGTCTGAGGCCGGATTTGGAACTCAGGCCCTCCTGACTTCAGGGCCGGTGCTCTATCCACTGCGCCACCTAGCTGCCCCCAAGTGAGACTAGTTTGGCTGAAATACAGAATGTGTGAATGGAAGTATAGGAAGTAAGTCTAGAAAGATAAGGTGGAGCCGGATGGTATTACATGTGACGAATGCTCAGCTTTGGATTGCGTGTTTCAGCACTGAAGATCCTTGACAAAGGTAGTGTTGTGGTCAGGCATGGGCTTTGGGAGGATTATTTTGGCCAGGGTGCAGAAGATGGATTGGAAAGGAGATGTGAGGCCCCTCAAGTTTTTATAGACCCCTGAGGGTAAACTCCTGCCCAACCCCCATACTTCTGGTCTAAAGACTTTTCCAATTGCTTGACCTAGTGTAAACCAGTAGCTTAGAAGCCAGATCAAGTACATGCCAATATAGGAAACGATGGAGAAAGGGAATGAGGTCAACCATTTGCTGCTCTACTCAATGCTCCTACCTTCCGGAAAGAAGAAAGAAAGTCCCTGCAGGCTCAACCGGAGAGGGAGAAGAGCCCCACGGTTCTGTGCCCCACCCTCCACTCCCACACAACGCAGCATCCCTGCGGGCAGCTGCCAGTGAAAGCAATTTCAGTTCTCATTCAATTAACCACATGTGGATTACCCACTTTTTACTTCATCCTCAACATTTGGCACACTCAGCTCCTTTCCTATACTACCTAGCAAGTGTGGACTCAGGCAATGCAAAGTCATTATTACCTAATTGATGCCAAATGGAATGAGGCTGGTAAATTGACTACCCCCAAGAAGCCTCTGAATACATGCCAAGGCTAAACCCAAATGGCTTTTACATTGTCTGTGGCTCTGGTTTATCTGTACTGCATACTGCTCCTCTTAGAGTGATCCAGTAATCAAAGGTTACCTATAAATAAAAGTTCTTGTTTTCTCAAGCCCAGAAACCTAAGAAGCAAACCCATTTCTCTTCTAGTTTCTTCCCAGCTCCCATCAATGGGATCAGAAACATCCCTCAAAGGGGGATGAAAGAGCTGACAGAGAATTACGTTTTCCTTCTCATTGTGTCTGGTTTATGTATAAGTTAATCATGAGAACACACCACATGGCCTTCACTATAATGTAAAAAGACTGTTGGCTAAATGCCTAGAAGTCAAGTCAGGAAATTCTGCACAAGTCTCAGAGTTCTGAGCCAGATTCCAGAATTCAGTTCCAAGGTCAAGGTAACCAAAGAGACTGACAAGCTTTACAAGAGTAGACACACTCCAACAAAGGAGAAGATGCATCATGGGAAGGGGAAAAGAGGATGGGGAGAGCACCTTTAAAGGAAAATCATAGATCTCAAGGCAGCAGGGACTTCAAATGTCATCTAGTGGAACCTTCCTCATTTTACAGGTGAAAAAACTGAAGTTCAATGACTTCAACAATGTCATGAAGGTGCCATGGCACCTGAGAAGAAATTTGAATTTGGAATCTCTGACTCTACATCCAGCACCCAAGACTCTCTGGGCCCTTGACGAACCACGTGTCAGTGAAAGTCCTATCCAACATCAATCCATCGATAGATCAATCGAAGCTGCTCCAGAGGCCAGCGTCCTCTGCAGTCTATGACAAGCAGAAGAGCAGGTGCAGGCTCTGGAGGTGGAGACTGGCTACCTCGAGTAGAACATATGCTCACCAAGAGAAGGGATTATTTTTTGTTTTGTCTTTGTATGCTCTGCAGCTAGCACAGCACCGCCCCCCTCCCCCACAACAGCAGCTGACATGCATGAAGGGTTTGAGATTTGCTTATGCATACATTAGGAGTCAGGTGGTGCGGTGAATAGAACACTGGGCTGGAGTCAGGAAGAGTCATCTTTTTGAAATCCAGCCTTGGACACTTACTAGCTGTGAGACACTGGGCAAATCCCTGAACCCTGTTTGCCTCAGTTTCCTCATCTGTAAAATGAGCTGGAGAAGGAAATGGCCAACCATTACAGCATCTTTGCAGAGGCAAACTGTCCATGGGCATGGAACATCACAGATAGTTTCAGAATTTTTCAATGTATTGATCAGTTTTGATGATTTTTTTTCTTTTTCCCCTTTCTTTTTCTTTAAAAAATATTATTTGTTGTAAGAGATGACTCTCTGAGAAGGGAAGTAGGAGAGATCCTGGGACAAAGTCCAGTGATATAAAAGACAAAAGATAACAGTAGAAGTTTATTTTTAAAAGAAATAAATGAAGATGGAAAATAGTTAAGTGACTTGCTTTAGTCCACACAGCAAGTGTCTGCAGGAGATCTGAATGCAGGTCTTCCTAGCCCTCACCACCCTACCGCACTACCTTAATAACCAGTTGTTTACTTGGATGGCAATGACCTGTGACTGCTAGTGTTAGACTGTTGGTGACGGCTCTGTCCTACACTCAAACTTGACATTTCCCAACTGCAACCATGAATGGTGTGATAGAAAGGGTTGGCTACAGAGTTGGAGGCCTTGCTTTCAAGCTCTGCTCTGCTTTCTGTGTCTCTGACTCTGGGTAAATGACTTCACCTTTCAAGGACTGAGTTTCTTCCTGTTCGATGAGGGGGATGGACCAAATCGGGGTGTCCGGCAAACACAGAAGCATATCCCCCACAGCTGCAGAGAGACTTAGAAAACCACAAACTGACATCATCCGTATTGTATTTGCTGCTGCTGTCGTTTCATACTGGTTTGGTTGCACTTGGGAGCTGTGTTCCCAGGATGGCAGAGCAGGCCATGATTTTGGTGCCTCTGGACTAAATGACCACTAAGGTCCTTCCAAGTCAAATCCACACCCTCTTGGTCTGCTTCCACTCTTGGGTCCACTGTGTCCTTTTTTGGTCTACCCCCTGCTGCTTCCTCATCAGGTCTGACCAGGTCTCTTCTTCCCTGGACGACCCTGGAATTCCCCTCTTCCCCTGTTACTAATTCTACCTCTTCCTCTTTTGTACAATGCTCCCTTTCCTCTTTTTCTCTTGCCAAACAAAATGCTACCATATTGAATCAAAAAAAGGAAACATGCAAAAACACACAGAGAAACGACCAAAACTAAGTAAGCCTTCAAAAACGGAGCAAAGGAAGGATGTTGTTTGAAAACAAACACACCCAAACACATGCACACACGCACCAGATGATCTTCAGGGATGTCTCTGGCCAAGGGTCTCTTTCCCCTTAGATTTGAAAGACCTCATTAATCTTGACAAGGCCTTCCCAGTTCCCCAGTAAAGGCCCATATGCATATACAGAAGTTATCCTTTCTTTCCCTACAAAACAATAAATGTCTAAGATGAAAGGAAAAGAGGAAAGACTGAATCTGATTACGTACAAGGACAGGCACAGACATTGAACCTCCATCTGATATCGAGGGCTCTCCACTTTGCAATGTGCTGCAAACCTCAAAGTGGTCTGTGCTGACGTCATTTGCCAAGTTTAGCTGTGGCAAGTATAGGTTGCCTGAATGACTGAAGCCATGGCCTGGAAAGGAATGTTTTTACATATTCCTCAGAGGAAGAGGGCAAAAGATGTTTCTCTATCATCTAGTACGTGGCAGCATGGTGTGGGGGATAGGGCACTGGACTTGAGGTCAGGAAGACCTGGATTTAAACCCAATCCCAGATGCTCACTAGATGACATAATCTTGGGCTAGATTCTCTGCAAGCCTCGGTTTCCACATCTGTAAAATGGTCAAACAGTATCTACCTCATAGGTTGTTGTGAGGATCAATTTATATATACTGTGTTTGTATGTATATTTGTGTGTGTGAGTAAAGTTCTTTGACTACCTTAAAGCATGATATTAATGCTAGCTCTTATTATCAGACTTGGCATTGCTTGCTGTCCACTCACCTTCAAGCAGATGGGTATACTACTTGTAGTAACAAGAGCTAATATATACTTTTGCTAAGGTAATAATGCTAACAAAGACACTGAGGGTCAGAGAGCTGCCCTGGGAGTTAGGAAAACCTGGATTCAAGTCTTGCCTCTCGTATCCATAGGCTGTGTGACCCTGAGCAAGTCCCTTATCCTTGGAGCACCCCCAAGCTATTCTGTAAGACTAAAAGTTGCAGAGCAGGCACAGATCTACAAAGGTAGAGGGAGCTTTCTCACAGCCTTTCTCACAGGCTTTTCAATTCAATTCAATAACCATTTATTAAGCACCTATTCTGTGCCGGCACAGCTAAAGTGAGGCCAAAGGAGGCAAAAAACAATCCCTGCCCTTAAGGAGATTACAGTCTAAATGAGGGGGAAGAGGGAGAGACCACAAGGAAACAAATATCTACAAAGAAAGCTATGAACAAAATAAAGAGATAATTAACCAAGGGAAGGCTCTGGAATCCCTAGAAGTTGGGAAAGGCTTTTTTTTTCCTTTGCTAATTATAGGGGAAAAAAAACACCTAATGCTTAGACATTTACAATTTACAATACAGTGAGTATGGATATTATCCTCATTTTAGAGAGAAGAACCTCTTGCCCAGAGGGGTTATGTGACTTGCCCAAGGTCCCACAGCTAGTGAGAGGAAGAGGTGGGGCTTGAACATAGGTATTCTGACACCAAGTGGGAGGCAACAGGTGGTGCATAGACGGAATGCTAGACCTGGAGGAAAGAAGACCTGAGTTCAACTCCAATCTCAGATATTTATTAGCTGTGTAACGCCAGGCATGTCACTTGACCTTTGTTTACCTCAATTTGTTTACCTTATTGGCGAAATGGATATAATAATAGCCCCTATTTCCCAGAGTCATTGCGAGTATAAAACGAGATAATATTTGTAAAGCACCTTACAAACCATAAAGCATCATATAAATTCTAGTTACTACTACTATTATTATTACTGCCAGGTATTGTGACTCTTTCTATTTCTTGTTCAGTTATTTTAGTCATATCAGACTCTTCGTGATTCTGCTTGAAGCTTTCTTGGCAAAGATGCTGGAGTGGTTTGCCATTTCCTTCTCCAGCTCATTTTACAGATGGGGAAACTGAGGCAAACAGGGTTAAATGACTTGCCCAGGGTCACACGGCCAGATTTAAACTCAGAAGATGCATGTTCCTGACTCCAAACCCACTGTACCACCTAGCTGCCTGTCACATTTTACCTTCTTCTACTCAGTAGAAGGTAAGCTTCTTGAGGGCACAGACGATTTTGCTTTTTATCTTTGTAGGGCTGGCACCTAGCACAAGACTGGCACACAATAGGCACCTGATAAATGCTTGCTGAATTGAATTTAATTGTTCATTAATGAAAACCACTAGTGACAAGGTGAGCCCCCTATTAGGCTCTTGGAATTAGACCCTGCAAGTAAACAATGAGAGGGCTTTCACCTCCCTCTGGGCTATATTAGGATCTCAAACCAAACTAGGAGCAAAAATCCAGAACGGAATCCCCAAAGTACAATCATATGAATGCAATAACAACAACAATAGTAACTAGCATTTATGTGGCACTTCAAGGATTTGCAAGATGCCCAACATATACTATCTCATTTGATCCACATGACTATTATTATCCCCATTATTACAGAAGAGGAAACTTGAGAATGAAAGAGACTAAGTGATTTGCCCATGGTCACAGATTATCTGAAGCAAGAATTTTTTTGAGGGGTGGGGAGGGCAATTGGGGTTAAGTGACTTGCCCAGGGTCACACAGCTAATAAGTGTCTGAGGCCACATTTGAACTCAGGTCCTCCTGACTCCAAGGTCAGTGCTCTATCCACTGTACCACCTAGTTGCTCCTAAATTCAAGTCCTTTTGATTCCAAATCTGGTACTTTTGTTTACTATACCACCAAATTTTTTAAAATTAAATTTAAATCATTTAATTAAAAGTTTAAAAAAAAACTGGTTGACCAATTTAAACCAGAATCAATATATTTTCTAAGCCTACGGAACTGGAACAAAACCAGGAGATCATCCTATTTCCCAAATCAAAGGGATTTCCCCTGGGGTGATTAGCCTGGCTCAGGCAGGATTCAACCAAAGCTCAACCTTACCTTCAGAGACAATGAACCCGTCTCCCTGTTCAGAGACAAGTCAGTGGAGAGGGAGACACTGTAATCCATGCTCTCAGAGGCAGAGAGGCTCCCACAGTCTGAGTCTCTCTTGGATTTACCAAGCGGAATTTGAGCAGGAGGTTCCAGAGTCCCATTGGCAATCTTTTCTCCCACTAAGCTCTCCAGGACACTGCTGGCGGGCCGGCTTCGATTTCCCTTCTTGCTATTGTTGGTAGCCATGTCCACGTCATTGCTCTGATGGTTGGAAAAAGGTTTCTCCTCCATGGTTGAAACTTTGGCATCCAAGAATCCTGGCGGGGCACTGAATCGATATTTCCCTGGGGCTGTAGGTCCAGCTTTGCTGTCCTCATTTCCAGGCAGGTCAGAACTGCTTGTAGTTTGAATGGAGTTGCCATCATCTACCTGGATAGTGGCAATTTCTCCAACCAAAGGCTTGTCACTGGGCTTATCTAGGCTGCCTTTGGGCTCAGTGTCGACTGGAGCTGATATCTCTGGGAGCTTCTCCCCATCAAAACTCAGTTGGCTCACTTCTGAAGAGTCCCTTGTGTGCATCCCTGAAGGCTTTTAAGAAAATGACACACAACCAATTATTTCTACATATTTTAAGTTTTAAAAAAACTATTCTAAACTTAAACACCAAGTAAAATATGCGTTTCCATATATGTAGTGGAGCACAAAAAGATCTCTGTAATGTGCAGTTCTTTTGTCTTTTTAGGTAAAGCAAATCCAACCTGTAACTTTCAAAGCTGCCTTCTTGTCTGTGATTCTTTCTAGCCTTCTTTCTGTCCTCTTCTCTGTATTTTTTATTAAAAAGATGCCTCAATGACCTTATTTTTATATATTTTAATAAGATTTAAAAGCTAGTAGTCACCAAAATCAATGCGATCTAGAAAGGCCCAGAACCTCCAAAGCCTAATTCTCTTACATTTTTTTCCCTTCTTTCTAGAACCCCTATTCCCCCCCCCCTTCCTCACTTCTCTCTGAGACTAGAGTATTTGGGATCAATTAAGAATTACTAATCACCACCCTCTCCGTAGCGCTTGTGGGTAAACACAGCGGGGGAATGTGGCTCATGTCTTCTCCTTCCCTCCCTCTCCCCCAGCACTTGATGGAGCACTAGACACATAGTAAATACTCAAAAATATTTATCAAAGAAATAAATGAATGAGAAAGGAACGTCAGCAAGGCCAAGGCAGGGCTGTCCATTGCGTTGTTATATTCCCTGGTTAGGTCATTTCATTACTATATTGTAGTTATTATCACTTCTAGGAATCCATGAACTTGTATGTTTAGCCAAAATGTGGCCTCCTGGAAGGAAGGGCTAACAAATACGCACCATACAAACATACCACATGAAACAGGGACATATCCACATCTCCCATGATGCCTCAGAGAAAGATGACTCCTTGGGAAAAGTTTCCCAGGACTCATTTCACATGAGATTGGACTGCCTGTGGCACGAAATGATTCCCTATATACAAGAAGGAACTTGAAAAATTAATAAATTATTGGATGATTATGGCTTCCAGAAAGAATCATCACAGAACTTCTTAAAAAAGAAAGATTCCCCTACTGAATTCTGACTCAACTGATATTCCTGGATAGCGATACGGACCGGAGATCATGGTCATGATATCTTATTCTCAAATGAAAAGAAACTTGTTATCACAGAGTTGTTGACCCTCCATTTCTAATTCCTCTCCCTGCTCAAGCCTTCCCATTGAAGTAGTCAGTTTTACAGTTTCTCCAAGCAAGTGAATATGGAGGGATCTGACATTTGTCCCTGTCTTTTTCTCTGCCTACTCAATCCATTATCTAACTACACCACTTCTTTTCTACTCCTTCAGTAGCACTAAGTTGCTGTGTGTGTACTGGAGCAAATCCCTTTCATTTTCTGGGCCTCTGTGTCCCACTCCATTAACTGAGGCATTTGGACGAGATGACCACTCAGGTCCCTTCCCACTGTAAAATTCTATGAGGTCACGGAGGAAGCCTTCGTCTACCTAGATCTAATCTTGCTCCTTGAATTGATGGTTACATTAGCTTTTCTCCATACATGTTGGCTCACAAAGACACATAACACCATCTGGTCAGTGCTACTTCCTGTCCAGCTGGATGGAAATAAGTCACTAAGGAACCTTCTGCATGGAATGGAGAACAGAGGAGGTTAAAACAGCACATCCACAGGCATGAGAGTTAGACCCAAATGCACATGGATGAAATTCTCTTGAAAACACATTCCTTTCCCACGGATGATCATTTGGGGGCGGTTTTTTAAAAGTCACACAATTCACCTTCTAAAAAAAAAATAGAAAAAAAAGTCTTGCAAGAGGTAGTTGTTTATTTTTAAACAGCCAGACTTACAGATACTGTTTCTGTTGAGTCATCATCTTCTCCTTCCTCCCTATTGTCTTCGATTTCCTCCATCACTTCAGCCTTCGCCTCAGCGACCAGCTCCCGGAGAGCTTTGTTGCTGGTGATTTTGCTGACAAAGGGATGCTGAGTAAACAACACACACACACACACACACACACACACACACACACACACACACAGAGATTAGAAAAGATATTTCTCTGTGCTGGGTAGGCTAGAGGCTGGCCCAGAGGCTGACACAACCAGAGGTGGGGTCCCTAGTCTCTTGGGGAAGGGTGATCCTCAGAGGCACTGCAGCTTCACAGCAGCTCAAATAAGGGCCAACTGCTGCATGGTATACAGTGTGAAAATGACCTGAGAAATACCCAGGTCCAGATTCTCAAAGGTCTGCAGTGAAAGATTGACAAGAACAACAAAGACATCTCACCAGAATGTAAGCTCCTTGTGAGCAGGGATGGTTTTCCCTTTGACTTGTTAATCCCCAGAACTCTGCAGAGTGAGCATCTAAGAAATTACTTTATTGACATCTACCTGGGATTCTAGGATTTGCAAAGGAATTTACAGGTATCTGATTTTAACTCACAGGTCTATTGTGAGGATTAAGAGCTCACCCTTCTTTACAGATGAGGAAACTGACAACAAGAGAGGTTAAGTGACTCGTTTAGGACCACACAGCCAGTAAATGACAGAGAAGGGTTTCTTTTGTTTCTAACTCCTGTGCTCTAGCCATTATACCACATTGCCTTCCAGAAGGGAAATGTGTTCTATTTGCAGGTACTTCTAGAAATGTAACTTCTTTAAGAGTAAAGAGCTCTTTCATATATGCTGTAAAATACTAAGTTCTTTATGGTTTTCAGCAGATGTTAACTTCAATAACACACAGCACATGCTCTTCAGGCTTGAACTTCCCTTCCTCATTTCCCTGCCAGAGAGTATATACACTTAGCAATAACACACATTCCTAAATCCAAATGCCCAGATGCACAGATACCCTAGGGTGTCGTTAAAGAAATACTGCAAAAACACCTCATTAATTTGAAATCTTCTCATGACTAGGAGAGGAGGTGGAAAGAAGCTTTTCTAACTATCAAAAATATACTGTAAAAAGGGAATAGTGAAAATAAGATAAAGATGTCAACTCCTTGAGAAAATTATCTCTCAGGTACCCTCAAAATACTTAATAATTGCTTATGTATGGTGGGATAGCTGCAAGGAAGGAAGGAAAGAAGTAAACAAGCATTTGTTAAGTGCCTACTATGTGCTAAATACTTTACAAATATTATCTTACCCCCCCACCAACCCTGGGAGGTAGGTGGGATTGTTACCCCATTTTACTGTTGAGGTTGAGGAAACTGAGGCAAACAGCTGGTAAATGACTTGCCTGGGGTCATACAGCTTGTAAGTATCTGAGGTGAGATTTGAACTCAGGTCTTCCTGACTCCTGGTCCAGCGCATTAGGCCACCTAGCCACTCTTTGCATGGATGTGGGCCTGCCATTTAATTTCTCTAGGACAAAGGTTCCTCGATTACATAATTAGAAAATTGGAATAAATAATCTTGAGGTTCTCTTCTAACTCAAAAATTCTATGATTCTATGCTAATTAAACATTCATTCTTGTCTTTTCATTAAAGCAGGCCTCCTAAAGGGCCTCACCCTAGGAAACACTTTGTTAGACTTGGCCAAGTTACTCTAAGCACTCGCAAGTAATGAAAGTTTGGTTTTTTTAAAAACATTCTGTAATTCAGACTCCAATCACTGGACCTGGTCTATCCTCAAGCAGTCCAAATTGGTGAAGTTTCACCATATAGATGAGAAACAGACCCCCTTACTCTGGCTCTGAGCCCTTCGTTGATACCCTCTCCAGAGCAAGTTAGGGAAGTGGTTTAAGGTTTCAACAGCCTTTTGTAACACAGAGTGGAAAATCAGATCCTGACAGCTCCTTGAGCATAAATGTTGTGTAACCTCACATATGCGAACTTAAGCAATAAGCCAAAGGTCAAATAGCTGCAGTGGTTGAAATGCAGATGTGGCCAAAAGAACAAACTTCCCAGGCATGCTTTTGGAAATCCCTATGCTTCTTAAAGGAACATGACACACTGACCAAATTAGAGGCAATTAAATGAGACCATGTTTCTCTTCTATAGGCTAAGTCACATAGACTATAGACAAAGTCCCCATTTCTCATACTTGGTGTTTAAAGGATAGGAAGATGGGAAGTCGCCTGGCACTGGATGCAGGGAGAGGGATTCTTTGGTAAAAGAATCACATGGAGAAACAGCAGAGAGCTGGGTCAAGTCATGTGAGCTCCCAAGTGCCTAGGAGCAACACTGCAGATGGTGTTAAGCCTGGGGAGACCATAGCTGGCAAGAGCTAGGAGGTACCTTCTGTGACTGATTAGGGTTAAGTACATTGTTTTGTAAACTGTTCTGGGACACAAGCCATGGAACACTTTTCTCCTTCATCATCTCTCCAGTGAGAGAAGGGAGCTTAGGATGTGTTTAGAAAGGTTCTTCCTCCACTTCAAATCTGCCAGTTCAGATTAAAGAGAAAGACACCAGCACAAAATGTGCAGGAGAGGCAATGGCCCAGCCCAAGGGGCTAGGCAAAAATTTTTGCTCAGAGCAGCTGACATGTTGGGGAGGGGGGTCCCCAAACTGGAACAGACTGCTAGGAAACTTATATGCACAGGGACAGAAATATCCCAGAAATATCCCAGAAATATCCCAGCTATGTTTTAAGGCAACTTATTTAGAATCCTTCAATAAAGGACCTCAAGAGTTCAGAGGATCCCCTTCCCTGGCCTTCAGACAAGTGAATACCTATATACTCTGGGCAGGGGCTCAGAACCAACTGTCAGATGTTCATTGCAAGCATCACACCTTGAAATTGGCAAATGCTACAAATCAGGGCTTGATTTACTGTTTTGTTGATTTTCGGACTTAAGAAAGTGATGGAAAAAAATGTTCATAGTACAGATCCACCTTAAAAGTGTGTCTTGTATTTCACGGGGCCATTGTTAAACATTTCCCAGCACACCTTATCACGATGAGATATTAACACTCCCCAGAGATGCAGACTGGAGAATCCATTCCATATAAAGAATTCAGAGAAACAACAGGAGATTTGTGTGCACCAACAATGACGTAGGGCATAAAAATTTGGAATGACAAGAACATACACAATGAATATGAAAAGATAAACAGAAACACCACCAAGGAGGCAGCTGAACTCAGGATAAGTATGATGACCACGTTGGTCCTTGAGAAAAAATGGAGAGATACACGTTCTAATTTCTTCCTTTTTTACACTATCTCTCACACGTTCAGAATCAGATGTACGTACTGTCTCCCCCCCCCCTTAGACTGGCAGCTCCTTGAAGGCAGAAACTGTTTCTTGCCTCTCTGTAACCCTGGTGGTTGGCACAATGCCTGGAACATAGTCAGCATTGAACAAATTCTGGATAACTCACTGAGCTCCCCACTCTTGGTAGAAAGGTGGGATGTGCAATGTTATATAGACAGTCTGATGTGGTCTGATGTTTTTCCTTCCTATGAGAGCTAGCATTTATCTAGCCCTTTAAGGTTTGCAAAGTGTTTTACATCATATTATCATATTATTAACTGAGAACAGTTAAACTGTAAGTCAAATAGGCACGATTCAAATTCAGGTTTTCCTAATGTAAGTCCAGCACCTTATCTATCTACTGTGCCTCAAGCAGTCCTTTTGAGGATGAACATGGGGAAAGAAAGAAGGCTTGGGAGAAGTGACTGTGATATAAAAAGGCAGAGACAATAAAACTTTCAGGAAGCCTATCTTAACATGTAATTAATGTTTTACTCAATCTAACAAAAATTCTATTTCTTGTAAAAGGAGTTCTTTCCTTAGTTGTAAGCAAACTAAAATTTAAGTCCATCTACTTTCATTTAATTTCTTTTGTGGAACTTAAGAACTACTGGTATTGGGTTCTATCCTTAAAGATAGGCATCTTAATGACATTATGTGCTCTTACACATAACAGAGCACAGAGATGGCATGGCATAGACTGGCCTGGGAGCCAAAGAGACCTAGATTCAAATCCTGCCTCTGACACATACTTACTGTGTGACACTGAGCAGATGATTTCATGCCTCAGTGCTCCAGACCCTTCTTTAAGCCTGTGAATTGCAAAGAAGTTGCTGACCTGCATTCATTCATAGAGACTTTCTTCATTTGGGAGGAATTATAACAATCAAATCCCAGGGCTAGTCCCTACCTCTGTACTAAATGTAATGGCAGACTCACAGGGTGGAGGGAACCTTCCTCCTAAGCCTCTAAGAGAATTATCCAGATAAATTAGAAACAGCATGATCTAGTATGAAAAGCCTGATCCAAGAGTCTAGTCCCTCCTTGTCGTGCCACAAACTAGAATTGTGAGTTTACAGAACAATAGCTCACATGAAAAGCTAATATTTTAATAATTATTATTATTTGTATTTGTTAATAATGTTAATTTGTTTGCTTATCAATTATTACATTTATTAATAATTATTATTAAAACACATGGGGGCAGCTAGGTGGTGCAGTGATAGAGCACTGGCCCTGAAGTCAAGATGACTTGAGTTCAAATCCAGCCTCAGACACTTATTAGCTGTGTGACCTTGGGCAAGTCACTTAATCCCAATTGCCTCAAAAAACCCCCCCAAAAAACAAACCAAAAAAAACCACATACACATGATCTCATTTAAGACTTAAAACAACCCTGCAAGGTATAATACCACACAGGTATTATACCACACAACACAAACCACAATATTATAATTTTCATTTTACATATGAGGAAACCGAAGCTCAGAGAGGGGATGTTACTTGTCCATGGTCAAAGAGCCAGTAAGTATCAATGGAAGGACCTGAACCCAGGTCTTCCAAGATCCAAATCCAGGACTATATCCACTATATCATGATGTCTGTTCAATTTAGGTAAAATATCCTACTTCATGATGAAAAAAAATGCTTGGTAAAAATTAAAAGCAGCATTCAAATAGGAGGTCTTATTAACTTTTTGAACATTCTCTAAGGGAGAGTCCATAACCTCTTTCATTCACCCATTCCAGCAGTTAACAATCCTTAGACAGGAAATTCTTCCCTGTACGAAATTGAAATTCCTCATGCTGAAGTTTAAAGTCTATTTCCTCTTGGGCTGGAGATGGAGAACAGCTGGTCAACCCCCTCTAGCCCATATACCATACACTTAACAGACAATAAGATGTCCTTCCTTGGGGAAAGAAATGGTCCCCAAAATGGAATTGAGACATTTAGACTGACTGCAGCTAGAATTCTTATTATTAAAACACATGGGGGCAGCTAGGTGGTGCAGTGATAGAGCACTGGCCCTGAAGTCAAGATGACTTGAGTTCAAATCCAGCCTCAGACACTTATTAGCTGTGTGACCTTGGGCAAGTCACTTAATCCCAATTGCCTCAAAAAAACCCCCCAAAAAACAAACAAACAAAAAAAACACACACATGATCTCGTTTAAGACTTAAAACAACCCTGCAAGGTATAATACCACACAGGTATTATACCACACAACACAAACCACAATATTATAATTTTCATTTTACATATGAGGAAACTGAAGCTCAGAGAGGGGATGTTACTTGTCCATGGTCAAAGAGCCAGTAAGTATCAATGGAAGGACCTGAACCCAGGTCTGTGCAAAGTCACCAGCCTCACTTTCTCCTCCAAAGCCATCTGGGTCCAGTGGCCAGATATTGATCAGGACGACTGGAGATGGCCTGGAATGCAGTAAACTAAACCTAATGACCTAGTACAACAAGGGACGGTGAAAACCCAGTATAGAATGTAGTTTAGGGAGAAACAGGGGTTATCTTAGCTCTAAAGTCATAGTGTGGTCATGTGGAACCTAAAAGGTAATGAATTTATGGAAAGAGTATGAGAGGAGAAGTTAGGAGAACTGGATTCCAGTGACCCCCTGCCACCAATAATATATCTGATCCTAGGCTAATCACTCAGTTTCCTATTCTTTAAAACACAGGGGGGTTAGACTAGATCAAGGATTTCTAATTTAGGATCCATGAATTTAGTTTTTTTTTTTAAAAACTATTTTGGCAACTGTATTTCAATCTAATTATTTTCCTTTGTAATCCTATATATTGTTTTATGCATTTAAAAACATTGTTCTGAGAAGGGGGTCCCTAGGCTTGACTAGACAGCAAATCTGGTGAATTAGTCAACTGACATGACACCAAAAAGTTAAGGACCCCTGGACCAAGGTGATCTTTAAAGTCCCTGGTAGCTCTAAATCCTATGGTCCTATGATTTTACTAGATGGTATCTAAAGTCTCTTCTAGGTAAAACATTCAATGTTTTTGGGTTCAGGAATTTATGCATTCAAACAATTAAATGCTTACTTACATGCAAAGGACTTAAGCTAAACACTGGGAATTCAAGGGGGGGAAATGCCCTGCCCTCAAAGAGCTTACAATCTCCTGGAAGGATATGATATGTACAAAGATAAAGATAAGTCTAAAACAAGGTAGGCATCTAACAAGATGAGATCTAACATTCTGTAGGAATATTTATGGCAGGAACATTTTGTGATGGGAGGGAAGAAGAATAAGAGAAAAGGAAGTAGCTCCTGACCTAAGTCAGAAGAAGAAAAGAATTCTGAAAGGCTGAGATGAGTTAAAAATTCAGGCCAAGGCATGGGACATGGCCTTCACAAGGGCATGGAAGCTAGAGGCGGCACACTGAGTCCAGTTACGCATAAGTTATAGGTAATGCACACATTCACTTCTGTCCTTTAAATGAACTAATCCTAGAAGTTAGCAGGAAGGAGGAAGAGAAGGGTCTGCTTACCTCTAAGAGCTGTGCAGCAGTGGGCCGGGTCTCTGGATTCTTATCCAGAGCAGTCTTCAGGAAGTCCCGGAACTCCAAGGACCTGTATGTAGGGACAGAAATTAACAGCAAGGTCGAAATGGGGCAGAAGTTCTGGAAAATTGACCCACAAGCTCCCCTTCAAGTCTCTTGCTAACTAAGTTACATCCTCTCTGAAGGAGGCATTGGGTCCCTTACCATCTAGCCCCTCTCAGGCCCAAAAGACAAGTCTTGGTTACCAGAAAAGAAAATGCCACATAGCCAGCCTAATGTGTAAGATGAATGAAGAAAGCTGGCTCAGTAGAGCTCAACAGTGACTCCTGCACCACCAGATCTACTTAGGAACAAGTTCTGGCTGCAGGTAGGATTCCTTTTCCCTGACTGCATACATTATTTAACCAAGGCCATCAACTGTCTGTCGCTCCATAACTCTCTGAGCTGTTTTGCCTTCTGCCAGCCCTAAGTGAAAGTTTTCCATCACACCTCTCCACAGCATTCCTAGACCTTCAACTGGTGCTCCCAGCCAGATGCAGTTCTGGGCCCAAAGAATCACGATCATTTCAGCTTGTCTGCTCCAAAGCAGGCACTCTCCAAAGGAGAGGCTGGTGTGAAAATAAAGCAAAGGGAAGCTGATCAAAAAAGCTTGACTTAATATGGGTGGAAGCAGATTCACTAAGGCTTCTTTTCCTTATAAGAAACATGATGAAATAATATCATGACAATGTCATCGAGTTCTTAGCATTGATTAAAGGAGACTGCTATGGTGTTTTATTCAGGAAAGACCCAAGGCTTCAACTCAAGACAATATTATACTATCATTTTAAAATTTTTCCTTTTTTTTTTTTTAAAGAGGCCTTTGTAGATCTGTTCCCAAATCAGGGAGTTTCTCATGAGGATGATGCCTAGCCCCTCAACTTCACATGGAGCAGTCAGATCATAAAATATTAGCACCAAAAGAGAGCTTAGCGATTCTCTACTCCACAGGTTCCCAAAATGGGCATACTGCCCCCTGGAGTGGCTGGAACAACTGGGGGGAGGTGGTAATAGCTGAGGGTATTGTGGGGCATTGAATAAAGGTTAACCTAACCTAACCCTAGGAGGGTGCCGAGTAATTTTTTTAAAAGGGGGTGATAGGCCAAATAAATTTGGGAACCTCTGCTCTAGTCCAACCCCCTAATTTTTAAAATAAGGAAAATGAGGCACAGAGGGGTTAAGTAGTCTGCCTAAGGTTTCACAGTAAGTAGCTGGAACACAGGTCTCCTGAGTGCTGGTCAGCTCTTTCCATACACCAGGACGCCTCTCAGTTTGGTTTTGGGTTTTGTTTTGTTTGCTTGTTTTTGGAGTTTTTTTTTTCTTTTCATTCCTCCACCTGGATGTTTGATTAGTCATATAACTTGAATTGTTTCTCTGGGGGTCCATGTATGTTTGCTTAGGGTCTCTAAGATAAGAGTGATGAGAATCGATACGGAAATGGGGATGTCTAGCTTGGAGAAGAGATGTAGGAAGGGCATGACAACTGTCTTGAGGGATGTGAAGGCCTGCCGTGGGAGGGGGGGCTTAGATTGGTTCCGAATGACCCCAGAGGGCAGAACCAGGAGCAAGGGGTGGGCCTTAAAGGGAGGCTGATTTCAGCTCAGTGTAGGGAAAGCCTTCCCGACAAGGAGAGCTGTCCAAAAGCAGAACAGCTGCCCTCAGAGACAGCACATCGCCTCTCACTGGAGGACTCCAGCCAGAGGCTGGATGACCACATGCCAGGCAGGCTGGAGAGGACTTTGCTTGGGAGCACAGATTGGACTCAGAGGCCCCCAAGGCACTTCCCAATGCAGAGAGTCCATCATTGTGTCAGGTCCAAGGCAGAGGCTTAAAGAGCCTGGAGAGGAAGTCACCAGGAGCTGTTAACCTAAGACTGCATTTGGGTGGTCAGCCTGAAAGCAGCAGTGATGATGAAGGGACTTTTGTCATAGCTTGTGTGGCCTGGCGATTTCTGAATGCTGCAAGGGCTTCTTCCTGTCCCATAGGGCTCTTCCCTTTCTAGTTTTTCTAGTTGGTCCTAAGCAATGACTAACCGTTATACATAACCTCCCATCAGCAGAATCTGAACGCTGCAGTGGCAGCATCAATCCACCGTAGAGAGGCCATAATCAGGTCCCCCTTTCTTCTTACCATTTGGATGGTGTGAGGAGCGTAGGGGGGTCCGACTTGGCAATCTTCAAGAGGACTCGCATCGGATTCAACTCATGGTGAGGGGGCTCTATCTGGGCCATCTCGATGAGCGTGATGCCCAAGGACCATATGTCAGCCTTGTAGTCATAAGGGGTATCTTTCATGGTCTCACACATCACCACCTCAGGAGCCATCCTGAACAGACCCAGCATGCCAAGGGAGAGAAGAGGGGGAAAGTTAAGTCTCTAGCATATGTGCAAGGTTTCTGTTTGAAATTAGGATCTAATTTGCCAACAAACCAATATCTGTGTGTGAACAGTCTCTTCCATCCATCCATTTACTGCACACCCCATTGTCTTTCCTTCTTGACTTGACCTGTTTGTTTGTTTGTTAGTTTTTTTCATGGATATAGGGAGTGCCTAGTGAAGATCTTCCTCTACTAACATAATTTAGCACTTTCTCTACTACTGATAGGCTGTTGGATGGCACAGTGAATAAGAGTGCTAGACCTGGAGTCAGGAAGACCTCAGTTCAAATCTGGCCTCAGATATTTACTAGTTGCTTGACACTGGGTAAGTCACTTTGAGATAGATGATTCTAATCAGACCCCTATTTTATTCCAGTCAGTATTAATTAGTTCAGTGTGATTCCACAGGGGTGGTGATTATACTTATCTATTATTATATGAGCAAGTCTAGTCATCTAATATTAATATAGGAATTACATGTATTAATACATATTTTACATATGTAATATTTAGGGATACTGAGATAAGATAGATTCTTTCTTATAATAAATCCTTAAACTTTTAACTCCAAGCTATAAGTTCACTGTTTGCTAACCTGTTAGAAAGTTCACTTGCCTAATCATGAAATGCTGACTAGAGGACCTCCACCCTTTTGGCCTGAAGTGTGTGACCAAGGAAGCATGGGAAAGATGTCTTGACGTGATCTGGGAAGTCCCCTAACTTATTTTTGTACCTCCAGATAACCTCTCTTGCCCAGCATGAGGAGGGACCCATCTTGTGGCCATTTCTTCAGTGGAGATGACCCTTTGCCTTGCCCATCCTGTGACCACCCATGCTGATGCACCACTTCTGACCCTCCTGGAGGGTCAACAGCAAGATCTATCAACCAACGGGATTCTGTATATTACTGAGACTCTTCTGTGTATGTATCTGGGTATCAAGTCCTATATAAGTAAGGCACAGGGGGCAAGGGACATCTCGGATCATGAAGAAGACCTGAGGCCCATTTATATGGTCCCTTTAATCAGTGGTTTTTGGCTCAGAGCTCTGCCTCAGTTTCTTTTATTACAGATTGGACAATACTGGACCCCATAACTTAACCTATTTCCATCTTAGTTTTCTCATCTGTAAAATGGGGATATAACGACTGTTCCCATCTGTTGCGAAGATCTAATGAGATAACACATATAAAGAGCTATATAGATGTTAGCTATAGTCTCAGAGAAGGGCATGGAGAGATTAAGTGACTTGCCCAGGATCATACAGCCACTATGATCCATATAATATCAGAGGCAGGATTTGAATCCATGTTTTACTGGCTTCAACGTCAGCTCTTTTCCCATTCCTCCACGTCACCTCTTCTATCCTCATTTTCTTCATATAGAAATTGATGCTCCGCCTCCTCCATGTCAGCCTGTAGTTGTTGATTCCTACCACCAGATGGCAGAAGAAATCAGAAGGAATAGAGAGTAAGACATCAGTGTGCTCAGAGCAGGGATGAGCACTTTTGAGGGAGAGGGAAAATGGGGGAAACAGAGTCCCAGAGGAGGATGGGGCACCAGGGGGAGAGGAAAGTGATGAAAAATAAGGATACAAAAAGAACAAACATGGTAAAAGAGAGAAATCGGTAGAAAAAAAGAAATCAATTGAGGGGTAAAGTGGAGGAAGGAGGGCAGGGTAAGCTAAGTAAGAGAAGAAGCCAGCAGCATTTAGCTGTAAGGCAAAGGGCCATTCCCTCACCGTGGATAGCCATGAATGCCAGGGTCATCCCCACACTACGAAAACTTGGTATATGATAACCCAAGTTCACCTGACAGATAAATTGGAAGAAATTATGCACTGAGAAGGATTCTGTACTTTTCAAAAGGATTACCATGAGTTTAATGCTTTCTCATTCCCCTCTTCCATACCCAATGTGATCCAACCTCTCCTGGATCTATTTGCTATAGAGATATCTTTAGGAATGGTTGCTGATTTTACCTGTTCCTATATTTTTTCTTCTTCTTTTTTTTTTTTTGGTGAGGCACTCGGGGTTAAGTGACTTGCCCAGGGTCACATAGCTAGTAAGTGTCAAGTGGTCTGAGGCTGGATTTGAACTCAGGGCCTGAGGGCCAGTGCTCTATCCACTGCACCACCTAGCTCCCCCTATATTATTTCTAAAAATGAAATGCCTTGTATATCTGGTACTCCTCATCTATAAAGGGAGAGGATTGGAACAAACAGCCTGGAAGGTCCCTTCTAGCTCCAAATCTATGACCCTGTCACCTGCTTCAGAGACGGTCTCACAAGCTGAGTGAACTGTGGTTTCAGTGTCCACAGTCCTAACTAGGAACAGGAAACTCCGCTTGAGCTTCACATATTTCTTCTCTGCTTTCCCCTCCCATGCACCGAAACACTGCCTGTCCAACAAATAAGCTGTTGGCTTTATTTTCACCTACATATATCAACTCCCGTACTGGTACTCCTAGAGCTTTGAAAATATCCAGGACAAAGGGTCCATCAACCTCACATATCAAGTTAGAGCTGAGAAAAGCCTTAGAGAACGTCCAGCTCTCCTCCCTTACTCCATTTCATTATGAGGAAGCTGTAAACAAGAGAAATGAAGTGATGTGGACAAGGTCACAGAAAAGCCAGAACTCACACACAAGGCTTCGGATCCCAGAAAGATATCATGAGTGCAATCGATGGTGCTGTTTTTGGAGTCTGGAAGACCCCAGATTCAAGTGTCATCTTGGACATCAGTATTGTGACCTTTTCCAAGTCACTTAACACCTCTCAAAGTCTTAGTTTCCTTATCTGTAAAATGGGGGTAGAGATAATAGCACCTCACAGTGTTTTGAAAATCAAATGAAATAATGTATGTAAAGTGCTCTGTAAACTTAGAAGTAATAAATAAAAACATTAGCAATTATAATAATTATTATTACTATTGTCACATCATGATGTCTTTCTAGTCTTCATACATTAACATTTTTTTTTGGCTAGGCAGTCGGGTTAAGTGACTTGCCCAGGGTCACACAGCTAGTAAGTGTTATATGTGTGAGGCCTGATTTGAACCCAGGTCCTCCTGAATCCAGGGCCAGTACTCTTACCACTGCACCACCTAGCTGCTCCCACACATTAATTTCTACCCTCCCCTTTCTTTCTCTCTCTCCCTTATGTCTCTCTGTCTGTCTCTTTCTCTGTCTGTTTCTCCTTCTCTCCCTCCCTCCCTTGCCCACCTCTGTTCTTCTCTGTGTCTCTCTCCCCTTTCCCTTTCTGTGTGTGTTTCTTTCTTTGTCTTTCTCTCTCTCTGTCTCTCTGTCTTTCTCTGTCTCTGTCTGTCTCCCTCTCCCTTTCTCTGTGTCTCTGTCTCTGTCTCTCTCACACCCACACACACCCACACCCACACACACCCTCTGGTTTGTTTCGTACACTTGCTTTTCTTTTTAATCAATTACTCAGTGTTTATTGAGGGCCAATCAAAGCCTCAACCATACAGCTGGCACTACAGAGAACATAAGTAACATAATACATGATTCCTGATTTCAAGGAATTTTATAATCCAGAAGGGGAGGTAATACTAACATCCGTGAAATAACAAATGAATGGTACAGGACAATGACAACTGAGTGCTAAATTACATGGTACAAACTCTTAAGTGCAGTAGGAATTCAGAAGAGAGGGAGAAATCAATAAGGACTGGGGTAAAAGGGAAGGCAGTCCTTGATCTGAGTCTCGGGTAGGCTTAACTATTCAACTAAAACGGCCATGCCAGTATTTGTCATCCAGCAAGTAGCTTGGGGGGTGGGGGTGGGGGGTGGTGAAGAAGGAATCTCAGGCTCAAAGTTCAGTCTCAGATCCAGTTTCCAGAAGCTAGCTTACTCACCAGTAAGGTGTTCCTATGAAGGAATCTCGTTTCTGCAAGGTTTTCAGATTCTTGGCAGATACACCAAAGTCAGCTGCAAGGCAAAAAATCTCAGATAAGCAATCCTTCTGGCATTCCTAGCCCTAATCCCCGCAGGTTATAAAGCTTCTGACAAGAAATTCACTGACCACTGATGAGTATTCCAAAAAAAAAACAACTAAAAAACAAAAAACATCAGCCAGTGGTCCTTCAGTCATCCACGGCTACAGGCAGATTATGAAGCTGGATATACAGACTTGGCAGTATTCTTCCCTACTCACAGAAAAGTCATCATCTTGATAAACAGAGTTTAGGAAAAAACGAAACCTTGGTAGAATGGATGATTTCTTATTGGAGCGCAGAGAATATAAGGCTTTGATGAAACATGCTTCCCATATCCTGGTGGACAGAGGGTGGATTATAGAGAAAGAATGAGACGTCCATTTTCAGACATGGCCAATGTGTGGATTTATTTTGCTTGATTATATTTATTTATTATGAGGGAGGGCTTTTGTAGGGGACGGGAGAAGAAGCAGGAGAACTGTTAAAGCGGTTAGTGGGTAATGATAGTGAAACTCAAAAAAAAAAAGAAGGAAGAAATGCACACGGAAGAAATATTTTTAAAATAGAAGAGAGCAGGGTGAAGTTTGAAAGGGCTGTGTGGGTGTTTCCATATTAAATTTATAACAACAATAACAATAATAGCTAACATTTACATAGTACTTCCTACGTGGCAGGCCCTGTGCTGGATGCTTTACAATTATTATCTTATTTAATCCTCACAACAATCCTGGGAGGTAGATGCTATTACTATCATCCCCACTTTACAGATGAGGGAACTGAGGCAAACAGAGTTTAAGTGACTTGCCCAAGGACACCCTGCCAGTAAGTATCAGAGGTAAGTAGCATCCACATCTAGGTCCTCTGAGCCCTTCCCATTACCTCATGCTGCCTCTCCCAGAGATTACAGCTGGGAAGTCAAGAACTCCTTAGCATGTGAACTTGTGCAAAACCAAAGCTTTGAGTTTTGAGGCTGTAAGTCTTCAAAAGAAGTGCAAACTACCAACATCCAAATGAAAGAAAATTCTCCAAATCACTAAGAGAAATACCCATTAAAACAACTCTATGGCTTTACATCATACCCTTGAAATTGCCAAAGATGATTCACTGTGGTCTAGACCTGTGATGACATGGATACAGGGAGCTCCCAGTGTGGAAACTCCCTCCACTGGTGCAGTTTGAGAATTCATGGATAATTTAATCTTAGAGAACTGGCTAATAAAAGATGGAAATTAGCAACGTCATGAGGGCTATGAGAAGTCAAAGACACTAACACATTGCTGAGAACTGTAAACTGGTCCAGTCATTCTGGAAAACAATTAGGAATGTGAGAAAAATTACTAAAGTGTTCCTTCTCTGACTCAGTAAGCCCCATACTGAGCACAAATCCAAGGGGATTAATGACAGAAAAAAAAAAGTTACACATATGCCGAAATATTCCCTCGCCTCACTCTTTGTAATAGCACAAAACTAGAAATATAGTAGATGCCCATCAAATGGGAGAATAGCTGATCAACTCATAATATATGAATATGATGAAATATTAATGTTCCTTAAGAAATGACAAATACGAGGAATTCAAAGAAACAGGGGAAGATTTGTAAGAACTGATTCAGAGCAGAGAAAAAGAAACAGGAAAATAATAAAAATAATTATCATAATAATGTAATTATGTAATAGTGCATTTTATACAACAGATTTGGATTTCATATAGTCTAATCTTGGTTCCAGAGCACTGCTGATGAAACACACTTTACTCTTCTTGGTAGAAAGGTGGTGGATGATGGGTACAGAATGTTGTATATCTTATTAGAGTGACTGTGACTTAGACAATCTATTTTTAGAACAAGGCAGGACTGGAGTTCTTTGGGGGCTAGTCCACAAAACTGATTCTGAGTTCTGAAGAGTATGTGAATAGACCAAGCATGGATGCTAAGCATTGTCAGGGAGCAGCACAGAGGGTGTCTGGTAAGGGAGAGCTACAGAAACGAGTAAGAAGAAGGTCCTGGGGGAATGATAGAGGGACAATATCACTTTGAATAATGGCTAACATTTATATAATGCTTGCTATGTGCCAAGCACTGTGCTAAGTGCTTTGCAAATATCTTATTTGTTCCTTATAACAACCCTGGGAGATACATAATATACTTACCTCCATTTTACAGATGAGGAAACTGAGGCAAACAGAGGTTAAGTGATGTGTCCAGGATTATACAGCTAGGATGTGTCTAAGGTCAGATTTGAATTCAGGTCTTCTTGATCCTAGGCCTGGGTCTCTATCCACTGCAATACCTAGCTTCCCCTTATATTGGATTTTTTTATTATTAGTTTATTTTGATTTATCAACAATCACTTCCATAAGTTTTTGAGTTTAAAATTTTTCTCCCCCTCCCTCCCCAAGATGGCACACAATCTGATATAGTGCCCCATATGTTGAATGAAAAGAAAGGGCTGCCAATCTTGTCTCTGAAGAGGAGATGAGAAAATGCACCTGCCTCCCTTCCTTGCAGGGAGAAAGGACTTTTGGGGACTCAGCATAGAACACATTATACACTATTAGACTTGGTTCATGCATTGTTTTATTTTGTTGAACTGCTTTCTTTGACCTTTTCTTTTTAATTCTTTATCACATGGGATGGCTTACTGGGTTGTGGAAGGGAAACGAAATTCACAAATAAAAGTGATATTGAAACACAAGATATAAATAAAAATTTAAAACTAGAGGAAAGGAGGGAGAAGAAAGGGAAGGCAAAGGGGGTTACATGGAGGTAGTATGGTAGAATGAAAGGCGCACTGGACTTGGAGTCTACAGCCTAGAGCCTAGAGTCTAGAGTTCTAATTTCATCTCAAGGATTAACCAGATATATGACTTTGTGCAAGAAGATCACTCTGCCTCTGTGGTTAGACAGGCTGATCACACACAGAAAATCACATCTAGAACTGGAAGAGACCTTAGAAAAGCATCCAACCTAACTATCTAATTTTTACAGATGAGAAAACTGAGGCTCAGAGAGGTCACGTGACTTGCCCAAGGGCACACAGAGAGTAATTGTCTGAGGCTGGATCTGAACCTAGGTTTTCCTGACTCCAGGTCAGTGTTCTATTCATTATGCCAACTAGTTGCCCTCCTAGTGATTAAAAGGAGGGAGAGAAACTAAACATGTCTAAAGATCCCTTCCAGTTCTGACATCCTGTGATTCCATACAGGGAAGAGCCAACATGATGAGGTATGGCAGAAGAGAAGCTAGAGGCTGGAGGCTGGAGAGGCAGGAGGCCGGAAGCAGAGCATTACTTTGGAAGCAGAGTAATCACGTGCACCTTTTAAAACAGAAGCTCTTAACCTGGGAGTCCATGAAATTGGATGGAAAAAAAAGACATCTTTATTTTTCACTAATCTTTGGTTTCCTTTGTAATCTTATGTATTTTATTTAATGCATTTAAAAACGTTATTCTTGGAAGGAATCCACAGACTTAACTAGACTGCCAAATGAGTCAACAGAAAGATTAAGAATCCCAGCTTTAAAGAGATCATCTTCAATGTTCCTGGCACAGCATTAAGACTGCTAGACTTAGAGTCAGGAAGGGCTGCGTTCAAATCCTGCTTCTGACTCTTATTCGCTGAGTGACCTTGGGCAAGTCACTTTACTGCTGTCTGCCTTAGTTTCTTTCTCTGTAAAGTTGGATTGATACCTGGAGTACCTACCTCGCAGGGTAGCTGTGAGGATCAAAGGAGAAAATACATGTAAAGCAATATGTAAACTTAAAAGTGCTATGAAAAGGTCAGTTGTTGTTGTTACTATTATTATCCTTTAAAATAACATTTGGTCAGGATACCCTAGGAAGTTTATTGAGACTAGCATGTTGTTCTCAGAAACAATGTAAGACTCTGGTGCATACTGCCTCTAGAGCAGCTAAAGAAAAGGGCAAACCTGAATTGGATTTCCCTGGCCCTCACCCTGCCTTAGATGTGAAAATAAAACAAAGTGTGTACACACACATGCACATGCATGCACACACACACACATGCGTGTGTGCACACCATCTTTTGCAACGCCTCCCAAGAGTGTGGCTCCTCCCAGGAGTCCTCCCCACCCTGGCAGCTGGCTGTTACTGCTTCTTCCCTTCACGCCCACTGGGATAACTCGTGGCTGTGAAGCAGGGGCAGAGCTCCTCCCTGGCGACCCAAGTGTGGAGTGAGGCAGAGTGAGAGTAAGCCATGGAGCTGGGATGAAGGCGTGGTCTCAAGCAGCGCACCCCAGGCCCTCTGGCCTCCTAGGTCTTAGCTGCGTCACACTTCCCACAGGATTCAGGAAGGCATAGCTTTCGTAGCACTAAAATATGGGGTTGCTGGGCGCCACACAAGTTAGCTATACAGTGAAAACCCATAGAATTTTTTTTTTTACTATTCACAGAATCCTAGGATGGCAGAGCTGGAGGGCAGTTAAGATGAGCGTATCACTCCATTATTTATTAGACCTAAGAACAGAGGTGGATCATATGATCATAGCTTTAGAGGGAGAAGAGACTTTAAAGCTCAAGTCTAACCTCTTCATTTTACAGACAAGGAAACTGAGGGCAACAGCTGTTTTGTGTCCAAGGTCATGGTAGAGCTGGGACTAGAATCTAGTCTGCTGAATGTCTGTTCAGTCCCATTCCCACTGCATCATGTTGCTTCATAGCACAGGTGAGTAGAGGGAAAGCAGGCATACCCTAGTTGAATGCCCCTCATATCTGTCTCCTTATATCTCACTTTATTTCCCTTCTTTCCAATCATCCATATGTTCCCTTTTCTCCTCCATTTTAAAATAGTAGAGCGATATGTTTTGATCTATAGAATTACATTTCTAATTACAGAATCTAAGATCTCATCAGCCCCCTGGCCCATTCCCTGCCTGCCTAGGATCCACCTCTACAACATCCCAATAACCAGTCACCCAACCCTCACTAGAATATCTTCAGTGCAGGGGAGTACACAGCCTCCTAAGGCAGTCCATT